TAGTCCTACTTTAGTCCTGGTTTAGTCTTGGACTGGGTTAGTCCCGGTTTTAGTCTTGGTGTTAGTTCTGGTTTAGAGGCGCACAGGAGGAAGCGCTCTCAGGTTAATGATGATGATGAAGGTGTGTGTTTGTGTTTGTATTTGTGTGTGTTTGCGTTGTGTGTGTTTGTGTGTGTGTGTTTGTGTGTGTGTGTTTGTGTGTGTGTGTTTGTGTGTGTTTGTGTGTGTGTCCTCTCATGTGGCAGGTCACTATAGGACAGTAGTGCAGACATCATGAGTCTATGCAGGTTGTTTTCACCAGTGACATTTAAGTTGTAGGCGATTTTATATTTGTTATTTTCTTTTATATTTCACGTCGGGAGAAGAATTTCCAAGACACGAATGTGTTTTTACCTGTGCACTGCTGCCTCTGTTCTACTGGCTCTTCGACCTCGTCCATTGTGCGACTGACGCCACCAACGTTAATAAGACGTTTACATCGCTCTTAGTGCGCGCATTTTGTGTGGGTTTCCGGCAATGAGTGGAATTACCGAAATAAAAAAAATGATAAATGTGTTTTTTTTGTGTGTGTGTTGTTGTCCCAACAACACATAAAAACAGATTTTATATTAAAGCAACTCGCATACAGAAACAGTAAAGTTAGAGATTAAAAATGAGATTAACGCGATTAAAAAACATAACGCGCTAAATATGACTGTAATTAATTAATCACAATTAACGTGATAATTTGACACCCCTAATTACTATATTGATTTATCATTGAGTATACATGAGCGATGGAACAATATAAGATTTGAGCTGTAGAGGGTATTGAATTAATAACTTCTATGACTCATTACAAATGCAAACTAAGTAGTAAAGTGTTTCATTATATTGCTCCTGGCTTACACTGGAAAAAAACTATATCTAGGTAAGTTAAAATGACTTAAATTAAGAATTTTTTACTTTATTTGGGTAGATAAATAGTGTGTTTTTCTTAATTCAAGCAACATTTGATTTTTTCTTATTTTAAGTGCAAAATGTAGTTGTTTTTTCTTATTTTAAGTGTAGTCAGATGTATTTTCATATTTTAAGTACAAAAAGTCTTGTTCCATTGGTAGATAATTTTACTTGTCCAGTGAAATTTACTCAAATCATGATAAAAAAAAAAACAAAACTCTTAATTCAAGACATCTTAACATGACTCGATTTTGGTTTTTTTTGCAGTGTATTGCGTCAGTGGCATAATTTTGTTTAAATATTATCTTCTATATTTACTTCAAAATGTGTTATTATACAAAAGGCAGAGCTGTTTTCCCTTATTCCTCACTAATCGGAGTTTACAAGCACTTTTCTCAACTCTCAGAGACCAGAGTGAAGTTTTGCCATGACAGTAAACCTAACAGTAACTAGAAAGGTAACTAGGGATGTAACAATAACCAAAATACCGTGATATCATATTGTCAAAAGTCTCAAAATAATATCGTGGACCATCACAATATATCGAATTACAAGTTAATTACAAGTGCTTAAAGTCATTGTTATGGTGCAGCAAAAAAACAAAAGGAACTACATAGACCATGATCCTTTGCTCAGTTTCAGCGCAAACTACATGAAGAAATAACTGTTCTAAGCACTTTTAAGTCTTAGTTCTTTGGGTTCAGTCTTGTCAAGGCATTTTTAGAGGAAAAAGGAGAATATTGACTAGGGGTACAAAAATACCAAAATATCAATATATCGTATCATTTAATGTGATGATACAGTATCGATATCGTGGGATGCTGTATTAATTTATTACCAAGGCTATTTTTTGTTGTGTTTTACTTAATTATTTTGTTACAGCGCTACAGGTTTGTTGCTTGTTAAGTGAAAGGAAACTTATTTATGCAACACATTTGACATTTTCACAGTTTTTGGTTAAAATGGGTGTGTTTGATATTCACTTTGCACAAGAAGTGGGTTAAAAAAGACGCTTAGTATCACAGCCATTAGTGAACCGTATCAAATAATTTTGAAATATATCAAATCGAAAGCTTACTAGATCGAGATATGTATCGTATCATGGCCTGTATATTGAGGTATGTATCGTATCGGCAACTTCTTAATGATACCCAGACCTAGTATTGACAGTTTTGTTAACCTCCAAAAAATCTCGGAATAAATATTGTACTGTGAGACGGATATCGTGAAAATATCGTACAGAGAGATTTGGATATCGTTACATCCCTAACGCACACTTTTTGACTATCGGAAAATAAAAAGGTTTATAATTAGATGCTGACAGTACTCAGTGGACAGTTTCTGACCTCAAGAGCGACAATATTTCTGTACTGGGGCCAGTGTTTGGAAGGTTACTTTTAAAATGTATTCCCCTACAAATTACAGATTACATAGCCCTAAATGTAGTTTGTAACGTAATCCATTAAATTACTTAAAGTGAGTAAAGTAATCTGAATACTTTGGATTACTTGATATTGTAGTGCTTTTTAAAACTATATGAACGTAGCAACCACATCCTGAAAATTCATGTTTGTTCTCTTCAAATTGGCTGTTGAGCCCAAATCTCCATGAACAGACATTTGTTTGCTGTAGAGAAGCAAAGACAAAGATGTTTAATCTGCTAAAAGACACAAAAAGCAAGGTATTTCCTTAACCAGATTAAAAACATTATTGATAGAGAAATGATTTCTATATGAGATCACTGCTGCCTTAAATTATGTTCACCTACTGTTAGGTGTCATCTTGTTTAGTCCTGGTTTAGACCTGGTTTAGACTTGGTTTAGTCCTGGTTTAGACCTGGTTTAGTCCTGGTTTAGACCTGGTTTAGTCCTGGTTTAGACCTGGTTTAGTCCTGGTTTAGTCCTAGTTTAGACCTAGTTTAGACCTGGTTTAGTCCTGGTTTAGACCTGGTTTAGTCCTGGTTTAGACCTGATTTAGTCCTGGTTTAGTCCTGGTTTGGTTTAGACCTGTTTAGACTGTTTCTGGTTTAGACCTGGTTTAGACCTGGTTTAGACCTGGTTTAGTCCTGATTTAGACCTGGTTTAGACCTGGTTTAGTCCTGGTTTAGACCTGGTTTAGACTTTGGTTTAGATCTGGTTTAGACCTGGTTTAGACTTGATTTAGACCTGGTTTAGACCTGGTTTAGACCTGGTTTAGTCCTGGTTTAGAACTGGTTTAGTCCTGGTTTAGACCTGGCGCTCTATCAACTAAGCTACTATCACCCCTGCACAATAAACTACGCCTTTCTGCCAAGACTAAACCCCCTACTACTATTACTAAAAAAAAAAAGAAAAATATCAAATATAATCACAATACTTCAGAAAAATCACAGTTCAATAGTTTTACCATATAGTAATAGTTAGGCTGCAAAGATTTAGTGATGTCTACAACCACAAAAATGACAATCAAAGATCAAACTTGTAGCGCACCTACAAACAAGGGCACAGCTTTAACTATAAGTCAGCCTACAAATTTCTTGGAGGTGGTATTTATTCTAGATTGTAAATACTGATAATGCGTGCGTTATCAGTCAGAGGCGTTGGAGATCTCACAGAGTAGGTTTAGTGGGTTCCTTTAACAGTACACATCAAGTCTCCTGACCTCAATACAGAAATGTCAGAGTCAATGGGAAAATGTATTATATGAAGTTTGACTATAGGCAAAAGGAATGTACTTCTTGTGCAATAATGACAACATTGCTCTATACAGATATATACAGTACTAATTTACTTTCTGCATTTTTTTACTCTGACTCCTTTAGGTGTAACTTTTCTGGTGGGAGGTCTATCACCTGCTTGTCTCCGTGGAGGTGTTAATTCTTTGCCTGGAATATTTCACAGTATGACATTAAACATATCAGACTTGCATTTACTTAATTGCAGGTGATTGTATTGCTACAGAAACATGCACTGTTACTGTGAGTGGGATTGCCTCTCCACAGATGTGACCTGTATGTTTATGTATGTTTAATGTCATACTGTGGAACATTCAAGAATCCTCATCTTCATGGGAACAAGAAGGTAGAAGACCCTCCAGCAGAGAAGGTACACAGTGCATTTTTAAGAACCAAGCAGAAGGGAAAGAACAAATAATTTGAGATTTGGAAAATCTTCCTCCTTGTTGGACACCACAGAGTTTGGTTTATGTGGTTCAAACATCTCACATTAACAGTCAGTTCAACATCCACAGACTAAACAATTGAGACACATTGAAAAACATATGTTGATTTGCAAAATAGCCTTAACAAGCAGGTTTATTCCCCCTTCAGAGAATGCACAAAGAGCAGACTATCTCAAATCAAGAACATGTTTTTTTTATGTATAAATAAACACCGATCACTTGACTTGCTAGGCTTGCATTAGGATGGTTATGCAATATATTCTTATGCAGAAGTAATACTTCATTCATAGACACATACAGGCATAGGTTATTTTGATCTATTCATACATACATACATACATATTACTCATCTATTCTTATTTATTGCATTTGTCTGGATTGCAATTCTGCCAATTTCTAAATGTTTGTTTTATATATTGCCATTATCATGTGCTGCACTGTGCAAACTATCCTGTTTATGAAATGTTCTATAACCTTGGAGTGGATCTCTCATAATGCTGTAATAAATAATAATGAAAATCATAGTTAATTAAGCCCATATTAATAGATTTGGGTAATAATGCACCAGTTGCATGCCCATTACAATTACGCAGAAACTTGTGCAACATGTCAGAACACATGTTAGAAATAGGCAAACGTTCATAAGTAATTCAGTGAGACATGAAATGTCTTACTTGTTAACCGAGTAAATGCTATTAAGAGAGTTATTTTAGGAAGCGACCCGTGGCGTAAAACCCTGAAAGGTTGCCCGGAAAGAAAACAAAAGCAGCCAATAATGTATTCTAACATTGTCAGGTAGTGCGCGAAGTCGACACAAAGCCAATGGAGTTGGAGGATCTTGTGCCGTACTAAAGCCACACCACCGATGACAACCGTAGTACCATGGATTTAGTAGTACTCACCCAAAAGGGAAGCTCCGCTCCGCACAGCCGCTCCATCTACTTCGCGGCGGGAGACCGACGCAGAGCTCCTTTAGCCCCGCTACAGGTCGACTTGCCAATTACCTTTTCTTATTTGCACAAGACTATTTATCACATGCCAAACATACGGACACACGACTATGCGCTTAGTTTGTCCTCCGTGTGAACCGGCAGCCCGAGACTGCGCTATGGAGAAGCCCCGCCGCTTCCGCTCCGCGCACAAGTAAAGTCATCAACAGAGACCGAAGAAAGCTCTGCTTCTGTGGGAGAGAGAGCGAGGCTTACGCGGGCAGGGCTGTCGCTGCACACAGCTCCCAGGCTCCGCCTTTCCGCTCCAGCTTTCTATGCTCACTTCGCCTACGCAACATGACTCAAGTCAACAGAAAAACCCTGTGAAATGTCGAGTCACGCTTAAGCAGCATCCGAAATGACAAAGCTACACTTCTGAGACTGTCTTACTTTTGAACACCGTGAGACAGATGAATGTCCTACTACAGCACGAGCTGCTCTCTATAAATAGGCCTGGTTCTCTCACATTCCCGTCAAGCGCCCATCAGGTTTGGTACAGTAACAAGGTTAAAAGTTCACATAAGGTCTACAACAGAGGGGGACCTTCAAGCCTGTAGCTAATGTGTGAGCTATAGGCTACTGTGTTAAATCATTTCTTTGTATCGAAAAGGTCTAATCCAGTGGTCACCAACCTTTTTCAGCCAAAGATCTACTAATCATTGCCATTTCATACCAAGACTTTTATTCCCCCAACTCTGCTCTAAACCACATGCTTTTAATGACTGGGGACTGGTTGTAGATCATTGAACATTAGAAGTGACTGAATCTCAATCTCTAATTAAAATCCAATTAACTGCAAAGCCTAAGGTCCTATATTACGCAAACTGACTCTTGTGAGCTTTAAGCTGTGTTAGAAGGTAACAACATTCTAACACGCTCCAATGTCTGTTTTGATGAGGTAAGTTACCTCATCAAAACAGACCTGGGGCTGTGTTTTGTTTCATTCCCACAAGTTTGAATAAGCCTTTATTATTAGTCTGCCTATATCTCCAAAGCTCAGAATGCTCTGTTCCACCTTGTGATGTCATGAAACGGTCATTCACAAGTGAACAGTTCCTTTTACCTTTAGTTCAGTAGAGATTGGTAATTCAGGACTGAAATGATCAAAATGATTCTAGTGAAAGTGTATGAAGTTTAAAAAGACTTTGGAGCATTTCTTGTACTCCCACATGAGATCACAAGGTGGAGTGTTTTCTGTCTGATGCAAGAACTCAGGGTTTGTTTGTTTTTGATGTGGAAACAACATTATAACAGGCCAGACAAAAGCGTAATATAGGAGAGTGTAAGAGATGTAAGAGAGTGTGTATATGTGTACTTCAAAAGACTCATTTGTGTATAGTAATGTGAAGAATTTCAACTGTATATGGGGTGGGATCAACTCAGCGTTGAGATAATTATATATTAGGAACTACATGCTATTACTATAGTACTACTGAAATCATAACAAAACTTAAACACATCTATATAGCTACAAGTGAGAAGAGGTGCTGGAACATAGTTTTGCTTCTTAATGAGTTGTTCACATTTGTGTTTAAAGCCCCTCATTTATTCATGCGCCTAAATGATCTTATCTTAAATGACCTTGTAATGCGTGTGTTTTTTATTTTTTGTTTGTTTTTTAATGTGTACCAAAAAATAAAATAGTACAAACAAGTACAAAGCAGTGGGTATATACCTTTGGTGGCAAAATGGTGTATTGAAAATAAGCAGATTGAACAGTATTTTTTTCATTTTTTTTGGCATTTAAGTTTTGATACTGGCTGTGTATAGTTTAAATGTATGTATTTTTTCTAACCTCTCTGGATAAGCACTTACTATCACTGCCCGAGGAAATCCCTCACAGGGTTGGAGCGGTCACAGTCCCCCTGGTATCACACAGGTCAAGTTTGGCAAGTAAGCTTAACGTAGCTCCACCCCCAGCCATCTAAGCCCATTTACTGTGGTTCTCCCTGCAGTCTTGGAGTGTTGGTTTACACACGAAACCTGTTGTGCAGAATACATACAGACGTGCTACACCTGAAAAGCACAAAGACATATCAGTGCACGGACAGGTTTATCTGTCACTTCTGCAAGACGTGTCACACAAATCTAATGCAATTTATTATTTAAAAGAAGTGAGCCCAGTTCTTAACGTCACAAACACTCACTCTTCTTAGGTTTAGATAAATGACCATCTTTTATAGTCTATTACTATTTTATTGAATGTTTAAATATAATGACGTAAAAGATCAAGCTATACATTACTAAACTTTGCATTAGGGTGATCAGATTTTCAAAATGAGAAACTGAGACACCCGGGTTGGTGGCGGTTGATAATAATAAAACTGTGAAACAAATGCATTTCACAGTTTATTATTATTATTATTATTATATTTGTTTATTATAAACTAGAACATTGTTATGCACTTGGCCCATTCATCACTTTTTCACGATAAAATGTGACTCAGTATAGTCATATTTTTTGTTTGTTTTCCATAATTTTACCTAAACAAAAATCTAAAAAAAAAAAAAACCTAGACAATTTATGCCTCTCTTTACTGTTGGCAGGGATCAAATTGGTTAAAAATAGGGACACCTGGGACTTTTGTTGTATAAAATTGAGACAAATCATTGGTTTTGGATAAATTCACTGGAGCAAGGGACATAAGGCTCAAAACTGGGACTGTAACTTGTTCTGCATAATATTTTCTGTTATGAGAAAAACATAATGGTCACGGGCTTATGTTTATTTTTTAATGATTAAATGTGTGACGATCCATGTGCCTACTTTAAATGCAGACGGTGCTAGCTTATTTTATAACTTGTCGAGCTATTTTTCAGGAGCTCTGCAGATCTCTCCAGATTGTCCTGCAATAAACCAAAACATGAATTAGTCAACTTAAAAACGAGTATGCATATTTTTATATTGTTATTTTGTCAAGTTTCGTACTTTAAATATAACGACAATTTTCACAAAACACGACCGACCTGCGTGAGCGCGCGCTTCTACTTTCCCGCCACAAGATGGAGTCATGGAGGCGGAAACGCGAGGCCAACCGAGAAAACAGGTAGCCTGTATTTGCGTTCCTTAAATTTAGCTCCAGCAGAGGACAATATTTAGTTTGGACTTAGCATAGGTTGACCAGACGTCCCTATTTACCCGGGCAGTCCCAGTTTTGAGCCCTGTGTCCCATGTCCCAGCAGATTTATACAAAACCATTAATTTGTCTCATTTGTTTTAAAAAGTAATGTCTCAGGTGTCCCTATTTTTGACCAATCTGATCCTTGCCAACAGTAAAGAGAGGCATAAATTGTCATTCGTTTCGTTAAAATACAGAAAAGCTGCTTAAAAATGACCAAAACACAAAGAAAATGTGACTATACTGACTCACATTAGTGCTGAGTGCGACCAGACGTCCCTATTCACCCGGGACAGTCCCAGTTTTGAGCCCCGTATCCCCATATCCAAAACCCTTCATTTGTCCCAGTTTAATACAAGAAATGTCCCAATTTTTGACCAATCTGATCCCAACAGTAAAGGGGCCAATATATTGTCAATTGTTTAGCCAGAAAAAAAAACAAAAACAAAAACATGCTTGAACATGACTATAAGGGGAAAAAAAGCAAAACAGAAGTCCTACAAATGAGTTGAGAATGGACAAAGTTAGGCACTTTTTTTTCTTTTCTTATACCAACCATCCCAACCAGATGTGTCCCAGTTTTGAATTTGGAAAATCTGGTCACCCTAGTTTTCGCACCTTAACTAAATACATTTATTTAAAAATAAATTTTTACATGAAGATTCAGAAGCATTTGAGCAGTGATAAAGAAGTACTCAAATTTGTTACTTGAGTAAAAGTATAGATACTGGAGCAAAAATACTCAAGTAAAAGTATCGCATGAAAAATCATAAAAGTATTCATTATTAAATATTAGAGCTGTTTAATGCCATACTGTGGAACATTCCAGGCAGAGCAACAACACTTCAATAGAAACAAGCAGGTGATGGACCCCCAACCAAAAAGTTACATCATGAGTCTTTAAGAAGTAAAAAGTGTAAGTATTTTGCAGAATTTTTGTGATTCTGATAAATAATTTTGTTCAACTGAATCTACTGCATTAATGTATTTATTTATTTATTTTATGATATTTTTGTTTGCTCAAACTATGAATGTGGTAAAAAAAAGCCCCTCTTTTCAGCAGGTCTCAAACTATGATAAAAATACTTATACAACAAACGTAGTGAAGTAAAAGTAAGCAGTATCCACTTACTTTGCTATATTGTTACTTTGTTACTTTGAATACATTCCATGCAGTTAGTAGTTTTATACACTGGCTATTTCGACTGCATGCAGCATTCGCTTATCTGTAGAGGACAATATAGGCTTGTATTTATTTATTTATTTATTTTTGTGTTTATATTGCTGTTTTCAGGTGTGTCCTAGAGTCCTGTACGAAGACAGAAGAGTGAAGACAGAAGAGTCCTCACTGCTTCAACAAAGACAAAGCCCAGAGAGGAAACACACGGACAGGACACCAACAGAGAGACCCATGTCCACACAGAGACACAAGGACACACACTCTCCTCACAGTGACAAGGTTGAAAAGTGCAACCAGATGTTAGACGCTGACATGAATTACTGGTGAACGTCATATAGTGCCTCCTTCATTCCAACAGGGAGCGCTACATGAACACAAGTGCCGGTAATTCCTGTTAATGCAGAAGCAGTTGTGAAAATGCACCCAGTGTCATCACGCTGGGGGTCTTAATGGTGGAATGTTTCGGAGTTACCTAATGCTGCACACATGAACAAACATTGTCATAACAGTTTTAAGATAGGTCTGAATACTCAAGAAAAATTAATACAAAATGGATTCAAACAGCACATTTTCAGGAGCCTGTGATTAATATGAGCACTCAAGAAATCAATTCTCACGAGTTTTAAGTTAGAATGTTGTTAACTCGTCAAAAACAGACCTGAAGTTGTGTTTTGTTTCATTCATACATGCTTAAGTAATCCTTTATTAGTCTGTCCACATCGCCGTAACTCAAAATGCTCTGTTCCACCTTATGATGTCATGAAGTGATCATTTTGAAATTAATGGCTACCTTTGGCCTTTAGTTCAGTAGAGATTGACAGAGAAATGCAGAGTTGAAATGATCCAGATGAATCTAGTGAAGGTTTATAGAGTTAGAGTTAATCTATTTGACCTTTTTTTTTTTTAGTATGAAGGCACAACATAGCCTCCATACTCTCTGAACATTTACATTTAACAAAGCAAATAAAGAGAACAAAAGTGTCAAAAACATTCAATGTTCAAAAAAAGGAGTAGAAATAAGCATGCCTTATTTTAATCCTACCCCTGCAATTTACAATATTTCATTACATACATACATTATAGTGCATCTGTAGACATCTGACATTAGATGGACACAAAGAAACAAACCAAAAATTATTATCAATAATAACTTTTTAATAACAATTCATGAAAATGTTAAAAAAATATTAATATTTGCACATTTTTTATTCTTTTTTCCAAGTCCATTCCATAAATGTACTGCACTTATAGCCTCATTTGTACAGCTGTTGTACCTACTTTTTTTTTTTTTTTTTTTTTTTTTTTTTTAAATGAACTCATCTCTTAGTCCATAATCCCTTTGTCTCTGTTTGAATATTCACATTGGACTCGGTCTTGAAAGTGTCTTGGTCTGCTTGGACTCGGTCTTGTCTTGGTCTTGAAGGCTCTTGGACTCAGTCTAGTCTCAGTCTTGAAGGCACTTGGACTTGGTCTTGTCACAGACTCGAGGTCTAACTCCAGTTAGGAATTTGAAAAAACTGGTTTAAAAAACCTACCCACTTTCTTCACTTTCTTCACAGTTTTGTGTAAAGTGTCAGTGGAAGTTCTCTTAAAGAAGGGTTCTCAAACTGAGGATGAGGGTCCATAAAAGGAGCACAAAGTGTTTCGGTGCAGTACAGTTTGCGTGTCTTATTTTAAGCTTAAATTAACATTTCTCAGATAAAATGGAGATAGATTTTCAAAAACATTGATATACATGTGCCAGAAAACTGTAAAATACAAATAAATGTAGAAAATGACAAAGATGGTCTTGATTTGGTTTGGATGGGCTGTAGTCTTGGTCTTGTCTTGGTCTTGACCTTTAAAAGTCTTGGTCTTGTCCTGGTCTCGGGACCCTGTGGTCTCGGACAGGTCTTGGTCTCGATTATTGCGTCCTTGATTACATCATTAGTGTTAAACGTGTGAATGAAACCAAATGAAACTTCAAGTGTGATGAGGAAACATGTTAGGCTACACAGATCAGAAAAGTGAAGGCCTAAAACACATCTGATAGGCCTATTTCAGCTTTTGTTTCTGAAATGTGCAGTCCCTCAGGTGGACAGAGACCTGTGTTTAGCTCTCTCCTAAACACAGCCTAAAAGAAGGTTGGTTTTGACCTGTGAGCAGCCGCAGCGGATGGGCGGGATTCCAATGGGCATCTCCTCGGCAGACGCACATCTGGTTAGCGCCTGGAGCACGTCTGAAACGTAACACCTTCTTCATTTCGCTTCTGGAGTCGGAACTTGCGAGACTTCAGCAGCTCCGCGCCTTGATTCAGCTTGACTTCTGCCTTATCGCTCATCTCTTTTCCACAGCGACGCCGCGCAACTCGATCCCGTACGTCAGCTCTATCGCTTCCAACAGCTGGGGTCGCAGAAGTGGAAACATCTGCAGCCCGTGTGTTCCGGAGAGAGAGAGAGAGAGGGAGGATGAGACAGCGGCGGAGTGTCCCGAAACATGCCCGGAATGAGAGTTAGGGGACATGAGCGCACCGCCTTCCACGCAGAGACAGTAGGACGGAAGACAGAAGCGCTTTGAGCAGGGATGAGCGGGTATTTGTCCGAAGAGGCGCGATCTTTCCCCCCGCGGAGACAACCACCGGCTGTCCTGTCTGCAGTCTCACCCAAGAGGCGCTTTGGTAAACTGGGGAGAAGGACCAGTGATGGCTCTCAGCAGTGAGTACACTTTGAATAAGTTTGTGAAGTGTTGTGAAAAAATGCAGTTCCGACTAAAGTTGCCATTTGTGTAGGGTGACCAGAATTTCAAAATCAAAAACTGGGACATTCTTGGTTTCATGCTGGTTGGTAATGATAAAATTGTGAAACGAGCGCGTAATTAAGGAAAATTGTTATGCAGAGACCATCATGACTAACATGTGAGCTAGTATAGTCACATTTTCTCTGTGTTTTGGTTTTGGTTTTAAAGAGGTTTTTTTTGTATTTTGTCTAAACAAATTACAATTTATGGCTGTCTTTACTGTTGGAAGGGATCAAATTGGTCAAAAACAGAGACACCTGGGACATTTCTTGTATAAAACTAGGACAAGTCACTGGTTTTGGATAAATCTGCAGGGACAGGGGACACAGGACTCAACTGGGACTGTTCAGGTAAATAGGGACGTCTGGTCAGAGGTTGGGACCTGCATGTCTTGACTTGGACTCGAGTCAGACTTGAGTCACTATTTTCAGGACTTGAGACTTGACTTGATAAAATAGACCAAGATTTGGGACTTGACTTGGACTTGAGCTCTGTGACATAAGAAGACTTTCTATTCTGACAGTGATGATTCATATAAGATCTTGACAAAACATTTAAAAAGAAAAAAATAAATAAAATTTCAACAATTCCTATATAAATACACTTATATAAATATACTATGACTTTTTAAAGTACAGTTTAGATTAAAATTCATATAAATTGCAAAAATCTAAGCTATATTTGGTACTTTGGTGTAAAAGGACTTGAAATGACGTGAAGCTTAAAGTAGACAACTTGGACTTGACTTGGACTTGACTTGGACTTGATTTGGACTTATGGGCCACTTGAGACTTACAAAACAACGACTTGGTCCCACCTCTGCATCTGGTCACCCTAGTTCTGTGTTTTAGCTGAAAGACAGATCAGCATTTACGTCAACATAATATTAGCCTATTCAACTTGAAGCAATTACTCAACTTTAGATGAAAGTCCAAGAAATTAAAACATCATTTGGGAAAAAAATAAGTTAGAGTGACCGTCTTGGGTGCAACTTTTGATTTATCCTTTAAGTTAACCAAAGCTTTGACATTTTTTACCCTAACAACATTGGCACTGCACACACCCGTCTCATTAGGATGACGCCCTCTGAATTTGAGAACAGTCGGATGAGAGGTTTGAGAGTTATGCCTGGAACAGACAAACAAACAAACACACAAAGAAAGACACAGACAGGCGTTCCTTGCATTAATAGATAAACAAAACAATGCAATGACAAAACAATAAAGAGCCCATATTATTATTTTCTGATCTATGTTTTAATGTTGTTTCCTCGGTTTTAGTTCTGTTTCATTCACACATGTTTAACACACAGACCCTGCATATTTAGGCTGATTTCTCTCAAACGGAAAACACCTAGTGATGTCATGTGGTAATACAGAATGTGCTCCACTGTGCTTTTAAAATCCATACAACTTCCATTAGAACCATTTGAACAGTTTCAGCCCTGGAGTTGCCGATCTCTACTGAACTAAAGGTAAATGGAGCTGTTAAGTTGAAAACGACCGCTTCATGACATCACAGGTGGAACAAAGCATTTTGAGCTTTGGAGATGTAGACTGATAATAAAGAGTTATTTAAACATGTGTGAATGATACTAAACAGGTCACTCCAGGTCTGTTTTTGAGGAGGTAACAACATTAGAACATGACTTAAAGCTCACAAGAATCAATGTTGTGAAGGGTGCAAGAAACACAAATGTTCAAATCATTTCATATTGTCACAATTAGAAGTAAGAGTAGTGTAACTTAAAAAAAAAAAAAAGGTGAATAGACAATGCACTTTACTTTACTATAGAATTATTCCAGTGTTTGTTTTTCTGAATTTACCTAAACCCTTGAATACATTTGGCAGTGTTTAACATAATACTAAACCAGTGTACTACATTTAAAGAAACAGTAATAGCCTCAAATTACTATTCCTTACAGGGCTGCAAGATTAATCGAAATCACAATTGTAATGGATGCAATTAGCAAATTGCAAATACAGCATTTTTTGTACACTGTAAACTCAAATAAGTTTCCCTAACTTAAAAAAATAAATAAATAAAATTCAGGCGACTGATTAGCTCAATTATTTTAAATTGATGAACTTAAAATTCACAGTCTTCTAGAACTTAAAAGGCTGGATGGTTTGCTACTTGTACTTGACAGCTGACTTAAAAGTGCTGAAATATTTGCAGTGAATATGACTCATAGTTTTCTGTTAGGGCAACTCAATTATTTTCAATTATTATGATGTAAAATTGGGAGTTTTCAAACCATTGGAATAAGTTCACTTATTTGGTGAAGCGCTTTGAAAATGTATTGTATTTTAGCATGTACTATATAAATTAAGTTTATTTTGAAAGCATCCCTATTTAAAACAATAGAAATAACAGGACTTTATCATAGTTGTACCTCATATATGTTTTGTAAGTTACACTCATTTATACCTTTTATCAAAAAATATGAGTTAAAATTACTCAAAAAGAAGAACATGTTACAGCAACTTGACCTAATTAAGTTAGTAGAACTATTTCTAAAACTTTGACTATACACAGCTTAATCTATTAAATTACTTTGAACATTTGGGTTTACAGTGTACCATCATTTCTTAGTATGTATAAAAGTATATAGTATATACTGAATTAAGAATCAGGCTACATTTGAGTCTGCATTTGACAGTACGTTTTGCAGCCAATGTTCACCGCTTCCATGTTAGATTTGTCAGCTTCTACAAAAGTTCCAAAGTGAAAACCCACACACGTTAAATTGTTTTGTTTTGTGCTGGCTTCAAAATTTTGATATTCAATCTTGTGGTTTACGGTCCTTTCAACAGCCATAACTACTTTCTGAAGCTGTTGTCAAAAATCAGTTTATTTATAGGCTACTGACGGAGAAGATGGTAAACTTTGTGTCAGTTTTAGTTCTATTTAGATAGACACAGTAATTACTCTGGATGTAACAATATCAAAATGCATTGATGCAATATTTTCACGATATGCACCTTACAGTTTGATATTTATTGTGATATTTTGTGGAGGCTTAAAAAAATAGCTATTTTTTTTTCCTTTTAAAAGCTTTGAAAAGCCTTTGGTATGGTTATAATATGAAAAATTATGATGTAAAAGTGTTTAATAACAGTTATTTTTTCCATGCAGTCTGCTCTGACAACACCAAAGGATCATGGTCTATGTAGTTCTCTTTGTTTAAGGCAAGTTTATTTGTACAGCACAATTCATACACAAAATAATATAAAGTGCTTTATAGAATAAAAACTATACCTATATATAAAGTAACTATACCTTTAAGCAAAAAGACTTAATACTGTGATAGCCTCTGATATTATTATGACACTTTTGACTAGGAATGTAAAAATAAATGAAATATCGTTATCTCGTATCGCCAAAGGTCTCACAATAATATCGTGGGCCGTCACAATATATTCACATTACAAGTTTCTTTGCTTACATTAACAGTTTTGGTGCAGTAAGAGCTAAAAAACAAAACAAAACTGAACTACGTAGACCATGATCCTTTGCCCTCTTTAAATGCAGACTATGAAAAAAATATCTGTTATTAAGCACTTTTTAAGCAGATTGTAGGTCTTTGGATTATGACAGAACCAAAGGCTTGTCAAGGCATTTTAAAAAGAAAAAGTAGTATATTCACAGTTTTGTTAGTCTCCACAAAATATTGCAATAAATATCGTACTGTGAGATGCATATTGTGAAAGTATCGTACAGTGAGATTTGGATATCGTTACATCCCTACTTTTAACGATACGATATTACAGTATTTCGGTTACTGTTACATCCTTACTAATTACAGAGATGTGAACCATAAACCAGGTCAACAAATCTGCATTCTGACACTTCATCAGCAAATTCCAATGGAGAATTCTAACTTATTCTCCAGATCTGTTTTAAACTAATGGCAAAATAATGTTGTGATGTTAAGTAAACCCAGCCTCAGCTTCATTTTCAATTTAAAAAAACAACAAATATATGACAACTGAGATTGTAATTATCCCAACTATTACGGTAAACAAAGGGAAAAATAATCTGAAACAAACCGCCTTGCCACTTTCCCAAATGTCAACAATGCGATTTCACTCTATTGGAGCAGAGGACTTTTGAACTATAAGCAGCTTACAATACAGGCTCAGCACAAAACCAAACTTCATTCAGTATTGGGTTTTATGACCGGCCACCGAGAGATCCGTCAAGTACGCAGTAAGTATAGGCAATGCACTAGCAGGTTGTTTAGTGGTATTTTTAATTGTGTTTTGTGGTATTTGGTTACATGTACATGGCTTGTAAAATAACATAACTAGAATAACCAGATAATCCAGTTGACAATCTGGTTTTATATGTTTATGATTAATCAGAATAATTGTGACTACTGAAATCATTCTAAACACATTTTGATAAACGTCATCGCTGACTGACTGGTGTTTATATCAGTAGATTTTAAATGGTCCATACTACTCTGTTTTCTGATCTACAGTATATTATATAATGTTGTTTCTCATCACAAACATAAATTGTGGAGTTGTGTTTTGTTTAAAATTCACGCTCAAACCCAGCATACACCATGCACTTTCACTAGAATCATTTGAATGATTTCTAGCCCTCGAATTGACAGTCTCTACTGAACTAAATGTAAAGGGGGCTGTTCATTTGAAAACTACGTGACTAGGGCTGGGTATCATTAAGAAGTTGCCGGTATGATTGCTCACACCAGCCAAAAAATGCGTAATAAAGAAGAAAAAACATATATAAGTCACACTTTTGGAGGAAATTCATTTGATAAAATTAGAGACAGGAACAGACATTTCATGCTGAAAGTCAAGTAAGTTGCATGGTGAACCAAACCATGAAAAAAGTGCGACTTATAGTCAGAAAAATATGGTACCTCGATACATAGTCCACAATATGATACATATCTCGATATAGTGCACTTTTGGTTTGATACGATATATTTCATATCAATTGGATGCAGTTCAATAAAAATAAAAGCTAAATCATGGCTGTGATACTAAAAGTCTTTGTTAAACCACTTTTTGTGCAAAGTTCATATGAAACACAAACATTTTAATCATCAGAACAGTGAAAATGTCAAATGTGTCGCATAAATGAGTTTCCTTCCTCTAAACAAGCAACAAAACTGTAGCTGTAACAAAATAATTTAGTAGAATATAACAAAAAATACTCTTGCTTATATATTGATACAGCAGCCCACGATATCGATACTGTATCATCACATTAAACGATATGATGTATCAGTATTTCTATATTTTTGCACACCACTATATATGACATCACAAGGTGTAACTGAGCATTTTGAGTTTTGTAATGGAATGTAATTACTCAAACGTGTGTGAATGAAACGAAACACAATTCCAGGTCTGTTTCTGAAGCGGTAACAACATTAGAACATGGCTTAAAGTTCTAAAGAGTATATTTTGCGTAATATAGGACCTTTAACAGTTGTATTTCAAAGACAAAGTAAAATCATTTTCAGTTTCTTTGATTTTTGTCTTTTGTCAGTATTTTTTTGCATAATTTCTTTTGTCAAAATCTGCACAGGGGTGAACAATCAGACAAAAATCTCAATACTAATCAGTTTTAACTGTTTACATGACATTTCAATAATTGCAGAGGTCTTACCAAAGTCTTACAATCCTGCAGGTCCGGGTCATCAGCTGAGAGCACCGTCACCAGGCAGCCCTGTAAAAGCCGCCTCCGTAACCACAGCAACCGCTTTTCCGGAGTCTTCCTGCGGGGTCCCTCATCCTCTTCGGGGTCCATGGCATCCAGCATCAAGACGTCCCTGTCCATCACGACCAAGAAGGCCAGCAGTGAGTAACAGTTTGATGTAAACTGTGTTTGCATTGGGTTCAAGTTTTAATTAGATGAAACGGACCTCTGTGAGCTTTAAGTCATGTTAGAATGTTGTAACCTCCTCAAAAACATTCACACGTTTGAGCAATCCTATATTATTAGTCTGTCTGCACCTAAGCTTAAAATGCTCTGTTACACCTTGTGATGTCATGAAGTGTGTAGCTTATTAACTGTTTATCATTTATTCAGTTTTTCTTTTCAAATTAAAAATGTGAATGCCGTGTTAAGTAACTTGTAAGTCATTTGATTCACAGTTAAATCTATTGAAAATTCCCATATTATTGTTTTTCTCCATGGAGTTTTTATTGCTTTGCCTGGAATATTTCACTGTATGCCATTAGATGTTTCTGTCTGGTGTTTATTTCATGGGCAGACTCACCACGCCACAGATCTGATAATGATATTGTCTCCATGAAGATTTAATACCATGCTGTGGATTATTCTAGGCAAAGTAGTAACATCTTCATAGAAACAGGCAGCAGAACCTCAACTAGAAAACACATTTAAGTAATAATACTACTACTACTGCTACTGCTACTGCTACTACTACTACTACTACTACTACTACTGCTACTACTACTACTACTACTACTACTGCTACTACTACTAATACTACTAATACAAATACTAATCCTAATCCTACTAATACTACTTATAACTTGTCTATTTATAAAGATCTTTTAAAAATAAGGTTTAGAAAGTCCTGTACAAACAGCACAGAACAATAAAAATAGCATCCAGAAGGCATACAAAATCAGACAATGATGCAAACAATTACATTTATTATAATAAATACTGTAAGTTAATAAAATCAAAATAAATAAGGGATCAAGCTAAAACTGGTTAAAGCAGACCTGGGCATTGTGCAGCTCCCGGGCCACATACAGCTCTTTGGTTGACTCTGACCGGCCCCTTTAAGCTCATTTGGAATTACAAAATAAACATATTTTATCATTTGACCTCATGCATGAACTAAAGCTGCACTGCTTTTATTATTGAGGTGTTTTTTTAATGACATATTTTGTAAGGCAGCCTCACTTTTTCATTGCTTAGTCATAACATAAACAGTCTGAGCAGCTCGTCAAAACAATGATATTTACTGTTTTTTTTTAATAAAAAAGTACAATCAATATTATGCAGAACTGAGTTAAGCATTTTGGCCTCCACAATATTTTCTGTTTCTCATTTGGCCCCATGGAAAAAAAAAAAAAAAAAAAGCCCACCCCTGAGCTAAAGGAACGCCAACTGATAAAAATGAGTCTTAGAAGTGATTTAAAAGTTGATATTGATGGTTATCTCCTCAGGCAGGTCGTTCCAAAGCCGAGGAGCCCGGACTGAAAAGGCTCCATCAGCCTTTATCCGGAGCCTGGACTTTGGAACATCCACAGGAACCTGCCTGAGGATCTGCGGCTGTAGGAGGCTCGTACAGGGTTAAAAGTTCTGAAATGTAACTTGGTGTAAGCGAGCTTTAAAAGTGATCAGTAAAATTGATTGTAAAACTGCTGATGTCTGTTCAAACCAGCGGTAAAACCATTTTGAAAGTATTAAAGTGATATTATGTAACTTTCTGGAGGTGGAAAGTCAACTGTGTAATTCCATGGAAAAAGACAGTTAAAACAATACTGTGGAACATGTTTTATGCCATACTGTGGGAGATTATAACCACAGGAACAACATTTCCATGGAAACAAACAGGCTCTTCTCCAGGCCAAATAAGAATCAGATTTGTGGAGATGCAAGCCCACTGAGAGTTTTATGTTTTTCAGGGCAATAAAAATGTGCATAATGAAGAAAACATACTCCTTATTTTAGACAATTATTGGCCAAAATGATTCTAGTTGTATCATTTTGTTTTGGGACATGAATGCAATTAAATCAGTGCATCTGGTCGAAAATATTTGGAACAATAAAGAACAGGTTTTGCTTTGCTGTACTAATTTAAGTTCCCATAACATTTTTCTTGCATGTTCTTACACTACTGTGGATAAATGCCACAAATGTCTCACTTAAATTGCGAACATATTCAAAGCTTATAACCAAACTTTTATTCATTGACTATTTTTTCCATATGAACATTTCATTATCTGCACAGAGCCTCTATAGCTTCACGCTTTGACTTTTAATACTTACATAGTGAATAAATACGCAATTACGGCACTGTATGTGTCAAGCTCTCCAAAATATTAGAGAATTAACGGCTCTGCTCCCCGGCTAGAATCCCCAATAAACCCAGGAAGTGCCGGCTTTATGGGAAATGTGGTTTGGCAGCCCCAGTTAAAGGTCTTAAAAATGTGTTGCCGTTACAGCCATTTCAACGTCCACCATTGCGGAAGACCCGTCCGAACTGTCCAACCACATCACGGCCCCGGGAGTCCTGAAGATATTCGGGAGCGAGATCTGTCGAGGGGCGCACTACAAGAGCGTCCTGGCGACCACCCAATCCAGCGCCATGGAGCTGGTCAAAGAGGCGCTGGAACGGTAAGAGGGTGTAAAGAAGCATTGTGTAATATTTTTGATGGAGGGTCCGTCAAATTCTTTTCCCCATGGAGCTGTTATTCCTTTGTCTGGAATATTTCACCGTACCGTAAAAAACCTTTCTATTTTTATGGAGACCAAACCAGACTAAGTCCCAACTCAGATCTGTGGAGAGGTGACCCCGCTCACAGTCAGAATTCCTATTTTTTGTTGTATTTTTGAGCTATAAAAAGACCTGAAATTGAATAAATGTAAAGTAGAACTGTTTAATTAAAAGGTTAGATTTATTTCAAACATTATTCTATCAACACAGACATTTACATGGACAGTCTGGTGTAATAATAGATTTGTTTTGGGTGTTTTGTGGAGTGGGTAAGACTGTTTTTAGTGGGAGGATATCTGTGGCCATTGACATGCACTAGCCTAGCACCAGCGACCTCTGCAAATACAAGGACTGGATGGAATATTTTAAAAAGTGTCTCCACATGTCTCCAACACTCTGACTCACTAGAAAATGAGGCCCTATGTCCAAAATTCCGGACTGTCCCTTCAAAGTAGGATATCGACTGAACCTATACCTTGGAACCAACATCTAATCCATCACCATTTTCAAAATTGTTGCCCATATCGGCTACCAGTATTTTATCGTGCCCTAGGAGAGACGATTTGATTCTTCAGGCAAGTTTTTGAGGAAACAGCTTCATAACATGGTAAAAAGCTCCAAAAAGTGGATTTTGCATTATACCCAGTCTTTAACCAGTAAATAAGTTATGCAAAAATGAAAAATGGTAGTTGCATGCTATGTCCATTTTGTAATTGGTTGCGTTAACGTGACATCACAACGTTTGAGAATCCCTATAACTATATAAACTGAGCTGGAGGACAGGTCAGAATTCTTTGGTGGAATTGTCAGTCTAACTGTCAGACTACAGATTTGTTGACCTGGTTTGTGGTTAATATCCCTGCAATTACTGGGCCTGTCAACATGAAACCAAAACTGACCCAAAGTTCAAGATCTTCTCCATCAGCATAATAACTACTTATTTTCACAATAGCTTTAGAAAGTGGAGCCAATATTCAACCCCAAATATGTGATTGTTGTCAGTTGAAAGGACTTTAAGATAATATGATTAGTTTGTGGAGCCAATCCCAAATAAATAATGATATGGTTCAACATTTGGAGTTCAACTTTGGCGATTTCTTCCCATAGAGTTATATAAGGTCCATCTGAAACCATGACATCACCAAGTTCTGGAGAATGAACTCAACCCAAATCTGAAGTTTTGAAAAGACTGTAGCATTAACCATATTGAACTGGGGCAGTAAAATAGCATTACATTTGACATGCTAAAGTAATCCCTGTTTGAACAACTGCGAGCCACATGTGTGAGCCGTGAGGTCTGCTCTGCATCCTCACACCACTTTGTTGAGATGAAAACACATGAGCACATTCACTTTGGCTGGGGATAAAACTAATTGGCTTTTATGCTTTTAATAATACACTCCCCTCTGGGATGCTGTGTTGAAAATGAAATATATGTTGTTGTTTTGTTTGTGTAGTGAAAAAAATAAAAAATCTGATGGTCTGGAGCAATGTCACATACATGCATAGACATATATTTGCATAGCTAACCTGCTAGTCTCCAAATATGAAGTGGGTACAAAGTGGTTCCTTCAAAGTCTGGTTCCAGTTGACTTCTGTTGAAAAACCATCACACCTCTTTGCTGTCAGGCTCATCATTCTGACCTTAAACTGTTCATGTCAACCCGTTCTACAAGATCCTGTTGATTTTTATTTCCTTCTTTTGTTGTAAATAATGATATAAAGATATGAATCCAATCAGGTGCCTTCTTTTGTCGAGGTTTACTCTTGTTAGTTTTAGCAACAGGTTTGATTGACAGCTATCCCAGCTTGTTGCTAAGTACCAGTCCTCTGTCAAACTACCGGTGCATTTGCCTTTTTAAAACCTTGCTCCTGATTGGTTCTTTGGCTGAGTACCCAGATTTCTAATTATATTTTGCTTGCAGATTCGCTTCTATAACTGCTAGCCTTGATTGGCTGCATTTGGCTGGAGCTCAACTTTATATTTGCTATTCGACATTACACCGTTCAGGAGATATGCGTGTCAGAGAGAAATGGATTATTATGTTTCATGTTATGCCGGACATGCACTGTGTGATATTTTTGATTGTTTCACTCAGCCCCAGTTCAGACTGCACAACTGAATTGCAGGGTTTAAAAAATCACAGCTCACAATTCATGTATGATACTCAGAATGCGAGAGGCAATTGGATTTCATACTGGTTTGATATTCTTGCGACCTATGATTGCTGATCAGGAGCTGGTCACGAGGTATTAATCGGTTCTTGTTGCAGCCAATCGGTTTTGGCTGCACCAAAACTGTGGAATGAGCTTTGCACATTAGACAGGTCTCTTCTGTAACTGTTTTTAAATCTCTTCTTAAAACGCACTTGTTCACTTTGGCCTTTGACAATTTGAGATGTTGACCTTTTCTTAGTTGTTTTATGTTTTTATTCATCTTTTGTTTTATTGTTTATATTGTTTCTTATTTAGTTATGTCCTGCAACACTGTGTTGTTTTTAAAGTGCGCTATAAGTAAAGTTGCAGTTGCAGAGTGAAAAAACTGGCTCAAAAAGGGCCAAAGATCACACAGTGTACGCCCGGAATTATGCAGACTAAACCCATTGTGTTAAATTCTACGATGTAAAAATACAAAGAAAAAAAGATAGATAAATCCGTCTTTATACCCAATAGACTTGCAACTTTTCATCACAGAATGAATGTCAGTACTTAACGACAGAGTCCCATTGAGACTGTGAGCTGTTTTGTTGTTAGTGCAATGAGTTCACTGGAGTTACTGTTGTGTTTATTATGACTGAAACACAATGAACACAGTGTTAATGTGCCAAACCTTTCTTTTGCTTTGGGACAAACCATAGAATTGCTTCATTTACAGTCAGTGTTGGCCTGAACCCTATTTTTTGCTATACATGAAGGAATAGGTCTTGTGTTTTTATCTCATACAAGGTTTTGTTTAGTCACTTACGAACAGTGCTGGGAAGTAACTGAACAATATACTGTATGTACTGAAAATGCACACAGGTACATTTACTCTTACATGTGGTTATATTCAGAGTACACTTAGTTTCCCTAAAGGAGTACACGGTTGCACTTTTGAATGTAATTTTGACTTTGAACTACACAATAATAAAGAAAACACAGTTGAAAACATAACTGAATGCATAACACAAAAAATATATATAAATAAATAAAGCTGTTTCTAATTCTATGTCATATTTTCACACTATAACATAATGCAACTTGATGTAAAAGTATTCCAAGTATTCAGAATGCAGTACTCTGATTGGACCGGATTATGTTATAAAATATGTTTTAATTAAAGTATTCTGTATTGTGTAACTAAATCCATTTTCAAAGCGTTCTTCCCATCACTACTTACTAAAAGGGTTACTGCTTTACAAAAGGAACAAATGTGGACCTTAAGTGTATGGAGAGTTTTCAAATAGTCTTTATCTACATCAGACTGGCAGGCTGCATTACCACGAAAAATCTGCAGTTATCAACAATGTTTAATCTGCCTGAAAAATGCCTTTCTTGTGCGTAAGTCTTCCGTGCATTTTGGGTGAAATTTTCCGAGTTGATGACAATGGTAAAGGGATTCTGTTTCAGAATTTAGTGCTACTTCCTCTATTTTTGTACTTTTCATCTCAAATAGTTTTTACCACAGACTGCCACTTAAAGGTGCACTATGTGACTTTAACCTGCTGGTTTTTGTGGATACAGTTTGTCATTGGAATGTTCCACGGTATGACATTAAACAGCTCTACTTTATATTTATTAAATTACAAGTGGTTTATACAGTGGAAAAAACTAAATCTAGTCAAGTTAAGATGACTTGAATTAAGAAAGTTTTATCATGATTTGAGTAAATTTCACTTGACAAGTAAAATTTTCAAGGTTTTTTGTATATAAAATATGAAAATACAATTTGCTACACTTAAAATAAGAAGAAAAAAAAAATCTTTGCACTTAAAATAAGAAACAAAGAAAACCATATTTATTCCATTGTTGAATCTACTCAAATAAAGTAAAATGGTCTTAATTTAAGTAAATTAAACTTATGTAGATATAGTTTTTTTTCCAGTGTAGCTCAAAAATACCTAGAAAAACGGGCATTCCTACTGCGAACGGGGTTGCCTCTCCACAGATCTGATCTTCAGCTTGGTCTGGTTCGGTCTGCATGAAGGTAGAAGGGTTTAATGCCACATTCCAGACACGGCAATAACACCTCCATGGAGAAAAGCATCTGACGTTACACAATGCACCTTTAACTTACGCAAAACTATGATAAATATTGACCGCCGCTACTATCCCACCAAACCAAGTCAGAATTCTGAAACCGTGAAAACCCTTCATCCTTACACAGTTGCAGACTCTTCTTGCATCGCGTCCTACAGGTGAGAGTGATTAGCGTTTTTAGCTGCTTTTACCTGGAGGTGATGGATGTACCGGAGCTGCCCCCCCCCGTGCCCCTCACACACCGGGGTCAGACCTGTCTCTTCTACAGTTACAGCGGCGTTATCAGAATCAGCTGTGGAGGCCTGGGCCTGCTTTGAACTCCGCCATTATCCTAAGTTTGCGGTCAACATTCAGGTCTGAACTTATGGGGCAGTAAAAGTGAGCTTGTAGGTCATTTATTTGCTGCGTTTAAAGCTTAAATCAAATGGGATGGATCTTTCTTTTTAACATATTCTTGTGCTTTGTGACTCTCCTGTGTGTATGTTGTACTTGTTTTGTTGCCTTCCTAGAAATGCAGATGTAAATTAGCTTTGTAGCAATAGTTGGGCATACTATACCGTATTGTATGGACTATAAGTCACTCCAGAGTATAAGTTGTGCCAGCCAAAAAAAATGGGTAATGAAGAAGAAAAAGAAAAAAAAAAACATATATAAGTCACACTTTTTGGGGGGAGACCAGAAACCGACATTTCATCTTGAAAGTCAAGTTCTAGTAATAACAATAGAACAGAGAACAACAGACTGTTAACGTCACATATGGACAGTTCTTCAGATAACTATAACATAAACAACAGAACAGAACAAGTTTACCAAACTCTCAATCACTAAATCCATTGAATTCTTCATCGTCGGTGTCACTTCTGAGCAGTTCCGCCATTTCTGGAGGTAAACAGAGAGCCACTTCCTCTTCTGTGCAGCTGTCGTCAGACTCAGCATCAGCTCCAGTTAGAATTATTCCGGCCTTTCTGAATCTCAACAGGATGGTTTTGGTGTCACTGAAGTCCAGGCTTTGTCCATCCATCCAGTGACTTTAGGAAAGTTTCATTGTGCATCCTCCCGGTGGCACAAGTTTCTCACTCACTCCAAACTTTCTTTCTGCTGCTCAGTTAGCGTTTTCAGCTGCATATTTCACTACTTGCAGCTTGTAATCTGCAAAATATTATTTTCTTTTTGGGGGCATTTTTTTTTCAGTCTTTTGTCTTTATAAATTTGTTTAAATGTTAAATTGTTCAGTGGTACAGAAGTAATGGTGTGATCGACTGACATGATACAGACAGGACAGAGGCTCTTTCTGCAGGAGACATGTGCAGTAGAGCCAAGTGACAGTGGTACAGGAGGAACAGGAGTAGCAGATACTGACACACAAGACTAGAGCGCCCTCTCATTGTCAGTGTGAACATTTTAATATATAAATAGCACCAGGGAAACACCCAAACCATGACAAAAGTGTGAAAAATAAGGTAGTTATGTTTGCTTCAAGTTCATTAAAGTCAATCAATCACTCAATCAACAACTTTATTAATCCCTAAAGAGCAATTCAGTTTGCACATCTCTGGTTGTTTACAATCCACAAATAAATAAAATAAACAGAAAATCAAATACATACAACCCACACCATACATTCAAACCTCAGTGCATAAGGGACACAATAGCAAATTTAATTTCCATTTAAAAGCTTTATGGAAGAAAGAAAGATTTAGTGTAGTGGTTGGTCTTTTGTTGTGGGGTGACATATTGCCTCCCAGAGGACATCTGCACAAACTGCTCAGTGTTTTTATTAAATCTTAGGGAGGAATCAAACACAGTCCCCAAGTACTTATAAAAGCTCACCATTTCTACTGCTTCCCTGTGGATAAAGCTGGCTATTGGACTGTGAACTAACACAACTTTTTTGCTACTAAACTGTGTAAATGGTGTTTTAATAGCTGTTCAGCAAAAAGTGTGTGGTACATTTCATGTACTATGTGATATCACACATGGCTGCTCAGATTAAAGATAGATGTTACTGATGGCAAACATCTGACCGCACGAGTGAAGTAGTTTGAAGTGTGGACACCTATAGATCAATCACACTGTTCCTCATATGACCAGACCCCACCCCTCAAGAAAGCTGGGCCACATTTGGCCCCTGGACCACTGTTTGGTCATGCCTTATTTATGGTATATCACAATCATTTGTCAGCAATAATTTAGTCATGATCCACTGAATAAGAATCGCAAACAATATAAGGTTTAAAAATGTTCTTGTCACTACTCACTTTTTTTCATGTAAACTGGTGTATACAGTAACTAAAGTAGGGACATTTCTTGCCCAAAGACACAACAGAAGTATTCATTGGATTGCCCCTGTATGTTTATCATGTAAAATACAGTTGAGACAAATGTTGGGTTGTCAGATTTGCCGTCCTCTGTGCCCTCCTTAAACCTCGTTATAGATCCTTCCGCTGTGTGGTTCATGGGACATAGCTGACCCACAGCCTGCAGCCTGCTGCTCCTCTGGGCTCCACACTGTTTTACTTACACAGGTAAAGAGGAGGACAACCAAGAGCCGGAAGAGGCCCCGGACCACAAAAAGCACAGGACTATTTAAGAGATAGGAAACACTTTGGGACTGTATCGGACTGCCCCAAAGCAAACCAATGGATACGTGGCTCATGTTCTCTTTCACTCACTGACAGCACACACTATATTGACTTTATTTGATTTTTGTTCTCATCAAAACCATCTGGAGTGGGCATATGTTGCATACTTGAGTCATGCCCTTCTCCGGGGCTCAACATGCTATGGTTACAGTAACCACGATTCTCCGAATGTATGTCATCAAACTATTTGAAGTTTTAAAACATTTAAGAGTACCCATTCTAAGGGCTACAAAAGAAGTTCAAAATCAGAAGAAAAAGTAGGACTTTTGGTGTTAAAATGTGTAATTGAACTTATTTGAAATTCTGCTCTCTTTCAGTTACGGCCTGAGCAAAGAGGAGGCAGTCTCCTATGTGCTTTGTGATGCCATTGGCTCTCTCAATGAGAACAAGTGGAAGACAGAGGCATTCCGCGTTGTCGGTGATAATGAGAAGCCCCTCCTCCTGCAGTCGCTATGGAAACCACGAGAGGGCCTGGCCAGACGATTTGAAATCCAGAAGCGCAGCTCTGTGGAGGAGAGAGAGTCTCAAGAGAAAGACACGGTCACTGCAGGTAATACTGGCCTCACTACATCCTCACTGTACACATTTCTGTAACTGATATCATGAAACAGCAGTGGTCAAGGCAGTGGGTCATTCAAACAAATAGTTATCCACACCTTACAATTCTGAGGGCCATTAATTGCCAACACTTGTTACCTTTTGAAATTGCTACATTTGCTGACATATTAATAATAATAATACTAATGCATGAGTTTTATATAGAATTATATAACTTTTCTGGACACTCAAAGATGTTTTACAGAGCATTATTCATTCACTCCACACTCAGTGGTGGTAAGCTACTACTGTAGCTACAGCTGCTCTGGGGGAGACTGATGGAAGCTCGGCTGCCAATCTGCCATCGGCCCCTCTGAACACCACCAACACTCACACACACACCACTTTCATAATAGACAATGTGGGTGAAGTGCCTTGCCAAAGGACACAACGGCAGTTTTTGCGAAAGGCACCCCACTGTGGTACCTGATTTTCCCAGCGGTCTCGCATCCAAGTACTAACCAGGCCCAGCCCTGCTGAGCTTCTGAGATCTAACGAATCAGGCTTTGACAAGCTGGAATGGCCATTTATTTATATTAAATATTGAAATGTGTAAATAGGTTCAAGTTTCATTTTTGATGCTCTCACTCCCCCTTCAGAGCACTATCACAACACAATCAGTGGATGTTCCTCTAATGAAACTACTGCACATTGCATCAGGTATATTGTTTTGTATCATGCTTTTGTAGATTTATGGAAAATGTCTGTGCAGAAGTCTGGGTTATAGGCTTGTGGTTTGAGTCTTGGACAGGATTGTACTGCTAAACCTGAGGAGAGTTCAACTAGGGCCCAGGAGAGATTGCAAGATTACTGAAACATCCATGGACAACATCTAAAACCTCTTCAGGCATGTTTCTGATGAGGGAACAATGTTAGAACATGGTAGGTTGTTCCAAAAGTCCATTTTGCATAATTCCAGTTCTTTAATTCAGAACAATAATATCAGCTCTGTGTAAATAAGTCCTTGTTTCAAAATCATCAAAACATTTGATGATTTGATTTGAACATGTTGACCTTGTATCTGGGGACACAAATTGGTCAAGTTTATCAAATTTAAAATCAGAATCTGTGGAAGAGTGTGGAAACAGCTCATAGAATTATATTTCCCTCGGATTAGTGTGTCAGTGTAAAGGTCAGTTAGTGTTCTCACAGTAAAATGTGGTTTTCAGGGACTCATTTTCCAGACAGCAATTTGCTAAACCACAGAGAACAAACCATATTTGAATGGGTATATTTTTCTCATTCAAATTTCTGCTACAAAATTGAGCTGGTAAAATATTCTGTGCCAGTTTCCCCCCCAAAAAAACATTGTCCTGACTCATAGTAGCCCAGTTTGACCATGAAGTTCTTTAATGAAATAAAAACTGTAGAGTATATGCAATAATTTAGAGGCAGCATGATGAGTTCAATCTAGTCTTATTTTTTTTTCAGTCAAAAATAATAAAATACTTATTAGTATTTTATTATTGTAGACTGAAATTCTAGACAGTTTCATGCTTTCCAACTATAGTATTTACTGGATAAATATCATGAAAACTCTATTTTGTGAGCTTTTAACCGTGTTATAACAGTGTTCCTGATCATTAGTTTACTTAGAGTTGTAGTGAGCGATTCATATATGTTTGAGTAATCCTGTACTTTCCTGCATTTGAGCCTTAAGCCTAAAAAAATATAATTTCATCTGCCCCTTATCTCTTTAAAAACCATGGCAGATTAAAACATGTTGCTTATCAATTTTTCAAGTAAATTCAAAAGCTGGAAAAAAAAAACATGAGGCTGTAGTTTATAATGTAAGTTTACTGATCATCAGACATGAACCCTCAGCACATGGTAATAGTGTCATCCAGTCCAGTCTAGTGTACTCCAGTCTGGATATACTCTGTTGTAGGGAGTATTATAACTCTGATGACACCAAGATAACAAGGACTGAGCTTGCAGTGAGTGCCCTCAGTACAGCACAACAGTGTAGCCAGAACAACACAGACTGAAAAACTTTGCAAAGAGGGGCACATCTGGAGCTCCTGTCCTGATGTCAAAGGGCGTGATTGACAGGCAGATTAACCAGTCAGAGAGACACATGCTCCATTCATGTCCAAAATAAACATGGCTGTTTACACATTAAAAATGAGAAGCAAAACTCAAAGGACACAGCACAGATTTTTACAGAACAACTAAAGCACCAAACTATTTTTGAAGAGGAGATGTCTTCTGCATTTGAAAGACACATTCCACAAATGAGCAGCTGTGATTGGCCCATCTCAATTTTGGATGAAGGTTTTCCACACTCTGTTGTCCGTTTCCTGACTTTGAGGATTTGATCAGAATGTAGAAGGGACTTGCTGCTCAGGCAAATCAATTAACAAAAAAAGCATGATACAATATTGTTATACCCAAAACCCCAGGCTTTACTCAGTGTGACATGCCCTTGTATAGTCAATCATATAACTGAGATATATGTGTATTACTATGTATTTTATTTTTTATTTTTATGTATACATTTATGTAATTGTGTCTTATTTGACATGATGTCAAATATTTTGCTATTTTGCTACTTATTTATAATTTATTATTCTCATTTATAGCGTTGTTCTTTTTTATTATAATATGCTATGAAGGGTGTGTCCAAATAATTTCCCTTGTGGATCAGTAAAGTTTCCCTTGTGGATCAGTAAAGTCTATATCTGTTTCACTAAAAAAAATACACAAAACATATTTTCATCAGATCATACATGAGTCTTCAATTGGCTGTGGACCCCCTGCTGTGTGTTGTTTTGGGCTCCGGATGGCCCCTCCTGTGACACTGTGACACTGTGACACTGTGATACTGTGATAGTGTGATAGTGTCCGTATGATGTGAGAGCTTATGGAGGCTGGGGTGTGGATGACCCCTCTCATTTTCCATGTACAGTGTGTGTGTTTCCACCGGGCTGTGCTTCCTCTGCGCCGCTTCCCTGTGTGTTGACTTTGGCCCCAGATCTCCATGTGCTAATGACTGGCACCTCACCAGCCTCCGCACAGCCGCTTTTACTGTGAAATAATGAGAACACAAGTTGGCCTATCACTATGTTTATTTTCTCATTTCTTTTCTTTTTTGATACATTTCTCAAAAGTGCTGGAAATGTTACTGACGTGACTCTTGTGAGCTTTAAGCCATTTTATAATGCTGTTCAAAGACATACCTGGAGAACTTTGTATTTTGTTTCATGCAATCCTCATTCAAATAATCCTCTATTCCACCTTGTGATGTTAGGTAGTGGTAGTTTTCAAGTTAAAAGCTTTTATCTTTTATCTTTAGGTCAGTAGAGGTTGGCAGTTCCAGGGCTGAAATGATTTGAATGATTCTAGTGAAGGTGTATGGAGTTTAAAAACACAGTGGAGCACTTCATGTATAACCACATGACATCACAAGGTGGCACAGAGTGTTTTCAGTTTGAGAGAAAAAATGTCAGCCTAAATATGGAGGGTTTGTGTGATAACATATGTGAATGAAACAAAACACAGCTCCAGAATCAATGTAAATCCGTATATCATTCGTGATTAGTTTTTCAAAATAAAGCCAAAAGTAAGTAAACGGAAAAAAAAGCGCAACTATTTTCTTCATTTTTTTCTCCCAAACCAAAATGAAAAAAAAAAAAAAAAAAAAAAAAAAAAAAACGGATAACGATTCTTTTTTATTTATTTATTTTTTCAGTTTTCGATTTTGTGTTTAAATGAATAATGGAAAACGGATCACGGCCATTTCCAGTTTCCAAACTGCGATGCTGGACTTTTGTGCCGCATACGGACTGAACCAGGACTGAACCAGGACTGAACCAAAACTAAAACAGGACTAAAACAGGACTAAAATAGGACTAAAACAGGACTAAAACCAGGTCTAAACCAGGACTAAAGCAGGTCTAAACCAGGTCTAAACCAGGACTAAACCCAGACTAATCTTGGACTTGAGAGAAAGAGAGAGAACCCAGAGCCTGTGGAGGAACAGGGTGTCCACAAAGTGCGATCGGGCGACGGCTGCGCTTTGCTCCGTGGGGCCTGGAGCTTTGTGCTGGTTCTTTCGCCCACGGTCACCCAACAGTCTACGCGGGCGCACCTCCGGGCCCGTCCTGACACTCAGTCCTGGTTCATTCCTGGTTTAGTCCTGTTTTATTCCTAGTTCAGTCCTGGTTTAGTCCTGTTTTAGTCCTAGTTCAGTCCTGGTTTAGATTTTGGCTTTGAGGACAAATAATAATGAATAGTGTTTTTTTTTTCTTATTATTTTTGGTTTTATTTTGAAAAAAGAATGAATGAATGATACATGGATTCTCCAGGTCTGTTTGTGATGAGGAAACAACATTCTAACACAGATCAGAAAATAGTGTAATATGGGACCTCTCCTTTCGAAAATTCTCATAACATAATAAGAGTCTTCTATTATTGACTCTGCAGATTTAAAAAATTTAAGCTGTCATGTTTGTTTTGACAAGAACAGAGCATGCGTCTCTCTGACTGGTTCATTCTCCTGTCAGTCACACCCTTTGAAATGACAGGATCTTCTGCTAATAACAGGAATGGACAGTAATACTCATCAACAGGCAACTCCCATGTACTTATGCCATGTGGAACTTTAATGTAAAAAATAACCAGTTCTCTAAATATTACATCAATCTTGTGGTACATGGATTTGGATTTAATTGGGGACTACTGGAAAAAGTTACAGAAGACCTATTGTGCCTGTGTTTGCTACTTGTTATATAGTTATAATCTATGACATCCGTGGATCATTATGTTATAAATTGCACATTTTAAATCGCAATATTCATCTAAAACAGCTTAATAAAAGAAACAAATCCGATGACTTCTGTGTTAGAAAAATGAGATGTCCAATGGGATCTGACACCGATTAAGAAAATAAAATTGAAGAACAAAGTAAGTACAGAGAAGTAGGCGTAAGCTGGTGGTGCTAAAAAACAGGGGTTAATCAATAATGGCGTCTTGAAAATAAACAATTAAAGACTGCTCAGACATACACAAATCACTCCAAGGGAAGGGGAAATAACTATAACACAGTTAAAAGCTCTGAAAAGTCGATTTTGCAGAATAGGTCTCTTTAATTGAACCAAACGTGCTACTTTTTCCTCTACTTAAATTTTTTTTTTTTTCAGGTATCAACGCCCAGGCTCGAAAACTTCAAAAGAGCCGCTCCCGGGTCACGTCCACGCTCATGGAGAGGTCGAGCGTCCGTGGCGCTCTGTGGAGGAGCAGGAGTTCCACTGACATGTTAGACTGCCACGCCCAGCAGAGCCCCAGACACCAGAGCCAGACCTCACTGCAGATCTGCGAGCTCCCCACAACGGACCCAGAACACAGCGTCAGTGAAGCGGGGGACTCGGGGGCCAGAACAGAGGCCCTGTGTGAGCCCGGGACCGGGGCCGAGCGAGGGGCCACGGAGTGGGAGAGAGAGGAGACGGAGAGCAGCGGCGATAGCAGCACACAGTACTCCATTCACCCGCCTCAGGACTGTCCTTACCTGCTGCTGCTCAGGGGACACAGCCTCGCACAGGTACTGCATTCAGCCGTCTCTGCACACCCCCGATCATTATACTCATCATCTGTTTAGGCTGGGTGGCACTGGGCCAGAAATCTATCCATTCAGCACTATTTTCGTAGACTAACGGACAGTTTTGAATTTGAAATGCCTTGCACATCACTGTGATTGGTGGAGTGACTTTGTTTTTTTTCTGGTGTCCCGTTGATTTGAGCTCTCTAGCTCTACTGCACATGTGCACGACCCTCAAGCGCTGTTCCAGTTTAAATGCCGTCGATTTGAGCTCCCCAGGCAGAACATTTTAAAAGTGTATTGGTTTTATTGTATGTTTGGACCAGTGTTAGATTTGCGGCAGAATACCTGCGTTAGATGATTGTATAGGTTGGATTTAATATTTGATTTTATTTTGTTTCCATGTGTAGAAAACCTTGTAGCCTTGTTTAGAAAGGCGCTGTATAAATAAAATATCACTAAGGCTGTGTATCATTAAGAAGTTGCTGATACAATACATATCTCGATACATGGGCCACAGTACTATACATATCTCAATATATTGAGCTTTCGATTCAGTAATTCAATATGATCTATTTCAAATCGATTCGATACGATTCAGTAAAAAAATAAAGGCTAAATAATGTCTGTGACACTAAAAGTCTAAACCACTTGTCTAAACCACTAAAAGTTAAACCACGTCTTGTGCAAATTTAATATGAAACACACCCATTTTAATCATCAAAACAATGAAAATGTCAAATGTGTTGCAGAAATGAATTTGCTTCCTCTAAGCAAACAACAAAACCGTAGTGCTGTAACAAAATAATTTAGTAAAATATACCAAAAAAACTCTTGGCGATACATATACAGCAGCCCACGATATTGATACTGTATCATCACATTCAATATACAATATATTGATATTTTTGCACACCCCTTAAAATCATTATATTATAATAGGAAATTCACATTGTAGCCTATGATATTAGGTGAAATCTTTATATTAAATAACATTAAATATATAATATTTAAAGCTATATAATAAAAAAGATTTCAGTGTTTTCAGTAGTGGGATCTGTATTTGATAGAAGATATTGGCTTGTGGAAATGAGCTACATACCTCTGCCTAAATTCATCTAAATAAGGGAATAATGGTGGGACATTATTCGATGGCTAAATTGACCTGTGGGACCTGTGGATATGTGCTCCCTTTAGTTGAAGCCTATTTGAGCAGAATACGACTGTCCGAATGAACTACCTACACATATTCATATGAAATTTGTAGGGCTGGGCAAAAATTAAAAAAATGTAATCACGATTAATCACATGAGTTCGAGTTGTTATACGCTAAACCAATTAATGAATTAAAAAGTAGAGTATAGCGACTTTTATTGGAAATGTAAATGAAAGAGCCAAACATTTGTTGTGCAAACAGCATTTCTTTCACAGGAGAATCCTCAGAGCCTTCAGGGTATTCAGGGAAGGCTCAAGAAAAAATATTGAATGGACGTTTGTACTACTAATATATTTGTTGAATATTTTTTTATGCTGTGAGTAATGAACTACACTAGTAATAATTTCTAGATCAGTGTTATAAACCTGGACTGATATTTCTTCGGAGACAAAGGGTTAATATAATGGAATGGAAATGGACCAATCACATTTTTTCTTCCAATGGTATCTGGGTAAATCAGTGACTCCAGCACTGAACTAAAGAAATAAGATCAGCTCAGAGCCGGTGCCCGCAGCTGAACCCGCGGCCGGAGCCCGCGGCCAGAGCCCGCGGCCGGAGTAGGAGCCTGCGGCCGAACCCGCGGCCGGGCCCGCAGCTCGCGGAGGCTCGGGCACGTTGCATCTCACGTGGTCAGAAAAAAGTGAAAAAAGTGTAAAGAAAAGACGTCAAACTTAAAGAAACGCTCGCGGTGGACTTTTTCAAACTAAAAGCCAGTGAGAAACAGACGTTTACAATAAAATAAATAAATAAATAATAAAAACTGCGTTAACGGCGTTAAAATAATTGTCGGCGTTAATGACTTAATTAGTTAACGCAAAGTTAACGCGTTAACGTGCCTGGCCCTAGAAATTTGACATAACAAAGGTATAAAGTGTGATCACCGTGCGCAAAAGCATCAAACCCTCTGTCTCTAATCCAAAGAAATATGTTGTAAAACCGGGGAGGTTAGGATTAGGGTTTGGCTCTACTGGATCTATACAACTGTAAACGGAAAAACATAAAGTAACTTATATCGATTTAGGCTTCTGGGAGCTCATTTCGATGGGGCAGCATTTATTTATTTATTTTTTATTCAACATGTTCAAAATCACATCAATAACACTTACGATACATGGGGAAATATGCAGCATATTGCTGTATTTCATTATTCTAGTGGTGACCCTTTGGTTTCTTTTGAGTCCCATGTGGAGTGACAGTCATTAGTGTGAGGACCTCATAACAGTTAGTACAGTTGAAAAGAAATGAGTCACATGTTCTTTGGGAATAACGGCTAAAGACAAATGAAGCCAGAGTATGCAACTTTTTAGCCAGAAAATAGACTAAAGTATGTTTTCATTTTGATTGTCCTTACTATAAGCAAGCTTGCATCTCCATAAATTCAACTCTTATTGAAAAATTAGGTTTCCATGGAAATCTTCCAGTTCAGGAATACATTTTCTCGAAAATCAACAAAATATTTATCATGAAGTAGTTTGAGACACAGGACTTTGTTGAATCTTCCATATCCTCTAACCCAGGTCGGCAACCTTAAATACTCCGAGAGCCATTTGGAGTATCTCCCACAGAAAAGAAAACACTGGAGCCACAAAACCCTTTTGACTCTAAAATGAGGCGATGCAGATCATTTGTTTTACCTGTGTGCTCTGTATAAAAGACTATAGTGTGCTGCAAATCAATGAAATGCTACAGAGAACATGGAATTTTATTCCTGCACGTAATACAAACATTCTGAACTCCGAAAAAAAGACACCTGGTTGATGCTTACTTTCAAATGAAATACCTAATGTGTATTTGAGTCCTTCTCATAGGAAATAAAAACCCAAACTTAGATTATTCATCTGCAGTGAACCAAAAATATGTCTGCTTCTGTGTTCCATTATCATTTTATCGTGTGTACTGAAGCGTGAATCTGCCCATATAACATTAAACATTCTGTTTTCTTCAGAAACTTTTATTTTCTTGGATTTATCCATCATTTACCTACAAGGGGTTGAAAAGCTCAATAAATCATGCTACTGGTGTTGGTGCTGGTAAGTCCAGACTGCCAGATATTGTATGTGCCGGGTGTGGCAGATGGGCAGTTGTGATGCATATTTTGAGCTACAAAAATATTAAAAACGTTTTATCTGAATGTTGCAAGATTCCCATTATCTACAAATTTAGAATTACATTTAAAAATGAGCAAACTAAAATAAAAATAAATTGTAATTAAATACTCATATACTAATATTATTTATTTTCCAAAGACACAGGGAGCCACAACAGAAGAATAAAAGAGCCACATGCGGCTCTGGAGCCGCGGGTTGCCGACCCCTGATCTAACCCTTTAAATCAAAGTACCAGACTTTTCCTTAAAGTTTTGCATATGACTGGATTAAACCAGCTGAAATAAAAACAATTAAGGTTTGTAATAATGCAAAACATATTATTTGCTGTTTTCAAATTTAAACGTACAGTATGCAACTTTTTGGAGGTGGCAATTCAACTGCATGATTCAATGGAAATGGAAGGTAAAAAAAAACATTCTCCAGAACATTCTTCATAGGTATGGACGCACTTTATGTCATAGTGTGGAATATTAGAGTCAAAGGAACAAAGTCAAAGGTTTGTTTTGTTTGTTTTTCAGTGTACAATCACCCATTACTCCACACACGAAACTATGTCAAAGATAAAAGTCTGAATCATCATTTTCTAGGTTAAACCACATGTCAACAGTCAGTAGACAGTAGGAACTGACGAGGAAGCTGAGAGAGCAGAGCCAGAGCTGTTTCCTGAATGATTATCGTCCGCTGTAACTGTCACTGCTCCAATCTCACTCACTCTACACAGTTACACAACACCCATGAGGCAATGCTACACAAATCTGTTCAGCTGGAAAGACAAGGCATCACAGGACACTCTCTAGGAATAATGGAATGTTGTTTTGTTTAATCAGGCTTGGATTAAACCAACAATGGACACACTATTGGACTTTGAATTAGTCTGGATTGTGTTCATCAATGCGCCATTCTTAATTAGAACTGAGCTGCTTTCTAATTGCAACTGTACCTACATTTTTTCTTGTAATAAACTACAATGTGTTGTGCCCCAGGACAGATATACTGTAAAAGCAGCTCCTAAGGTCAAAGTAAGTCCTAGTAGGTGTGCTGTCTGCATTGAATAATCTGTTCGTAAAACGTTGGGATGGTATATCAGTTATTGGCGATATTAGTGATATTGTATCCATTCAATATTGAAAATTTTACCAATATTTGGCATCAATATTTTTTCTGCCCCGCCTCAGTCTTTGTGTGCTCACTTGTCGTTCCCAGTTTGTCCTCAGTACATCAGATTTGTCTTTTGGAGCAGACTAAATGAATAAAAATATGAATGAATATATTAATTAAAGTGAATTTATATCTTGGATGAATGCGTAAAAAGCGAAAAGGTAATTTATGAAAAATGCTTTATAACTATCTTACATTTATTCAGTTACAGGTGGTTCAGTAGCTAAAAAATACAGAGCAAAACAGGCTTTCTGACTGTGAGTGGGGTCGCCTCTCCACAGATCTGAACCTGTAACTTGTTCTGGTTTGGTCTTCATGAAGATAAGCAATAATATGAATAACTAAGCAATAACACCTCCATTAGGGCTTGGTATCATTAAGAAGCTGCCGATACGATGCATGCCTCCATACATAGACCACAATATGATACATATTTCAATACCGTGCACTTACAGTTCGATATGATATGTACTTTCAATGAGGTACATTTGGTCTTCAGATAATTTATGTTATTAGGTTCTTTTTTCAGACCAAGATACCTGACAGTTTGGACTGCATAAACCAGTTTCATTCAACTAAACAAGCAACAAAAGTGTAGCACTGTAACAAAATAATTTAGTAAACTATATTTAAAAAAAAATACTCTTGGCGATGTATCGATATGGCAGTCTACAATAAACAAAACGATATATATCTATATTTTGATGAAAACTACTTGACAGACCCTTCACCAGAAAAGTTACACAATGCACCTTTAGTATACATTTGGCGGGCTTTCATGTATTAAACAACTAATCAATGATCAGTAAATTGAGATAAATAATCACTACATTAATTGATTAGCAAAATAATCATGACAGCCTTAAATTAGTACTGTTTTATATTACCATGTGGAGTTACATGTAAATATTTCTTCAGTGGTGCAGCTATTCAGGAAAGGTTCATTTTTGTCCTGTGAAAGTGACTTTAGAACCGATACCTGCTCAAATGTAGTTTTAGTATCGATCAGTATCAGATTTTGGATACTTTTGACACCCCTAGTGGCTGCGTACACTACAGGGCTTTCAGGACACGTGTGTGTGCTGGGACCAGACGCTGCTGTTTATTGTTTTAGTTTGGGAAAATGGACTGTGGAGTTTTAATGTGTTGATTTAGTCGTGCAGCTTTCACTACTTCCCTTAAAAGTATTTCAAATCAACACACTGACTGAGGCATTTGAAAAAGTAAGGTTCTCAAAGTTTGGAAACATTAACTTGTGTTTTTAGTTGAGCTCAAATACCCTAAGAAATTCATCACAAAATGAGCCTGTAACTGGAAATACAACATTTCAGTTGAGAAAACTGCTTGTAAACACATTTCTGTGAATAATTAGGACGTTCAGAATACATAAGGTAAGTGAGGAATAACGGACCAATGCAAATGGTTTAAAATGAACTTGTTCTGTTTTTTTTAGTTTTTAAGTCAGATACAGCACCTTTAACTGGGTTACATGTTGCCATTCCGACAACTGGACATCAGTGTCAAAGGGGCGGCATTTCCATTTTTTATCAAGCATCCCTGCACTCCAACATTGTTTTTTTTCCTTGGTCAGAGTGGCAGCACTTTAGCTTTTTTTCAACATTCCACCATTCATACACAAGGTAATTATTAAGTTGTGGCGCTACTGTTTTCGGGACAATATTTTCTAGGACTGGCGGCGTAGGAGGCGCGGTGCGTGCGGCATGGTTTAGTCCTGGTTAAATCCTGGTTTAGACCTTTTTAGGCCTGGTTTAGTCTTGGTTAGACCTTGTTTTAGTCCTGGTTTAGTCCTTGTTTAGACCTGGTTTTAGTCCTGGTTTTGTCCTGGTTTAGTCCTAGTTTAGACCTTTTTTAGACCTGGTTTAGACCTGGTTTTAGTCCTGATTTTAGTCCTGGTTTAGACCTGGTTTTAGTCCTGATTTAGACCTGGCTTAGACCTGGTTTTCGTCCTGATTTTAGTTCTGGTTAGTGGTTTAGTTCTGGTTTTATTTCAGATTTCTGGTTTAGTCCTGGTTTTAGTTCTGGTTTAGTCTTGGTTTTAGTTCTGTTTTAGAGGTGCAGCCCATGTGGTGCACGGGAGGAGGCACGGTCCACGCAGCATATACGAGGCAACAAAGGTGACGCTCCAAACTATGAATAGGTTGTCAGAATGGTAAAGGTGTCGGAATGGCAACATCAAAATGTGTCGCAATGGGGGCATGTCAGAATGGAGGGTTGTCGGAATGATAGAATGTCAGGGTGGGGGTCTGTCGGACTGGCGGTATGTTGGAATAAGGGTTGTACCCCTTTAACTGAGCCTTATCTAAACCAGAACAATTGATCATTTTGAGCAATGCATTTTACTGTTTCTTTCATTTGTTCATACAGTATGTTCCCCTCTATCTGTTCTTTAGGACTTTCTCATATATCTCCTGACAAGTCCGAATGTCACGGTGGGTCGAACATCTGACCCGAACCAGGAATCAAAAGTCGACATAGTTCTTTCCGCTGATGACATCCTTTCGACACACTGCAGTTTTCACCGGCTTCCAAACGGCCGCCCGACGACCCTGCGCCCGTGCCCGATCGCCGTAGTGACGAAGAACGGGGAGCATCTGAATGCGGAGGTGATGCTCAGCTCTGGAGATGTCATCGGCATTGGACACAGCTACCTGTTTATGTTTAAAGACCCCGCTAGTCCAAGCCACCAGGTAAGGCAGCCATACGTAGTAGTTAGTAATAGTATTGATTTATAAGAGGAACATTTTGCTTGAAAATTTGAAACTTTAACTTTTCTGGTGAAGGTCAGCCACCTTGTCACCATGAAGATGTTATTGCTCCACCTGGAATATTCCATGTGTGGCAAGATGGAGTGGTGATGGTCAAGAAAGTAAATAAAACAGCTTAATTATGAACCAAGCAGCAGCAAAATAACTAAAAAGGTCACACAAGTTCATTTTTGAAAACACAGAGGCAAGGTTCCATTTTGAACTAAGTTGTACATTTATTTTACACGTAATTTAGTTGAGAGGACTTGTACATAAATAGTTATGTGCATTTCAGCAGCATAGTTCAGCTCAAAGTCTCAAAATCGGGAATTAAGTCAACACTGGGATTCACAAACAATGGAGCAAGATGGACGACTCAATCCAGTCAATCATACATGTACAAAGAGGGCAAGGCGACGGCTCCAGCGCCCCCACCACAGCTCCCAGAAGTCACATCCTACAGCTAAACTGGCAATGAAGTTCCGTAGCTTCAACATACACTTCAGTTCATCCAAGCTGCTTCTTCAGTTCTGAACTGAAGGAGCATGATGAGCTGCGAAACACATTCAACCAAATAAACTTTGTCCAGTTGACAAATTGAATTTCTCCTTTGCCATGTTGTCTGGGATGTTAGTATGAAGCCAGATCTCCGTGAAGCACATAATACTGCTGACTGCTTTGAGATAAAAACTGAGTAGTTAAGTAGTAAAATAGTCTGCTGTTCATTAATACATGCTGTCCCACTGAAATAAATAAACTCAACTGACACATACAAGATACATAGGTTTAATGGTATACTGTGGAACATTCCATCAATAACAACTCCACGGAAGTAAGCAGATGCCCCCACCCCTATCAAAAATGTACATGGCCGATGCTGATACTGATTGTTTAGAATTCAAATAAAGTGATTGCTAATAAGCTTTGCTGATATTTACAAATGATATGTAGGGACAATTTTTATTTATTTTTTATTGGCATTTTCACCAAATAATGTAACTTTAAATTACAACAAACTCACCCACGAGCTGTCAGGAGAGCTGTGAAGTTACTATATGGATCTAAGTGTTCAAATAAAGCCAATTCAGTAAAACGTGGAAATATCTCAAGTGTGTGTTTTGGCCATTAGTTACCCCATTATCTCATCAGCCTCCATTAAACTTTTCTACATTTTGAACTCTCTTTACCGGAAATCCCTGCTAACTGTTGAGCCCAGTATGGCACACATGCATGATTTGTAATTACTGTGACACACTTATGCAGCATTTATCTTAATTATCCTTAATATGTTTTTTCTTTCTTTTTCAGGATTTCTTGACCACTGAGCCCTGGCTACTGACCCACTCTCCCACCTCTCCAGATGAACTGCTCCTGTGCAGCACCTGCCTCTCCACTTCCCCCTGTCCACCTCTGTGTTTCAAAACACCACAAGGACACGACCTGACCATACGCTTTCCAACACACTCTTTGGACACTGTTACCAAGGAGATAATAACCATGGGACTACACAGCATAGTTAGTACAGAGAGACCACAGATGACTTTAGCCTTTCTTCTCAGCACGTGTATCCAGTACTGTGCTACTAGCCTGCAGGCGTCACAGCTACGCAGACTGCTCCTGCTCACAGCCAGTCATCTACAGAGCAATGTGTGGGTAAGCTGAAGGGAGGGATTGTGATTTATCTGTAAAAAGTAGGATTGTGTTCAAAGTGCTCATTGTAAACAGCTCCAAGAGCATTAAAGAACACATATTACACTATTTTTTCATCTCTACAATGTTGTTTCATTCACACATGTTTAACACACAAACCCTTCTCTCAGACAGAAACCTCTGTTCCACCTTGTGATGTCATGTGGTAATACAGGAAGTGCTCCACTGTGTTTTTAAACTCAGTACACCTTCATTATACACCTTATACACCAATACACCTTCACCTCCATTTCTACTGGACAAAAGGTAAATGGGGGTACAAGCCTTATTCTGACATACGGCCTCTCCAACAGTAGCCAGGCTGGCGTCACCTTGCGCGTCTGCTCAGTTTCATTTCTCTCCAGTGACTAGGTCAGGAATCAGAATACACTAGATGGTTTGCATGAACCCCAGAAATTGTAGACTGCGCACCGGCCAATCAGAGAAGAGCTCTGAAGCCGTGACGTCAAACTTGTCGCGCCTGTCTGGGGCCCTTCTGTGGTACAGCACAACAGTAAACAAAGCAGTCGAGATGGATGTAGACAGATAGGAGATTCCAGGAGATTCCCAAGATCGAGGATTTATAGCTGGAACAAAGAGAATGTTTGGTGAATTTTATCAAGGAAAAAGATGCTATTGTCCTTCTTCCTACAGGATTTGGCGCATTACATATGTCACGACCAAATAGAAGCGATTGGTTAAATAAAAACATACCCACCTACCGTCCAGCGAACAAATCCTAATGGTGCGAGGTCAGACAGTTTCCACGAAGTGAAACTGGCTGATGAATCAGGCTACTCCGGCAGACCCCCACCCTGACATTCCATCATTCCGACAACCCTCCATTCCAACATGCCCCCACTTTTTGATGCAGCCATTCTGACACTTTTTATATCACCATTCTGAAAACCTACTCATAGTTTGTAGTGTCACCTTTTTTTCCTTGTAGACACTGCGCCTCCTCCCGTACACCGTGTGGTCAGAATGGCGGAATGTTGAAAAAAAAAAAAAAAAAAAAAAAGGCTAGTACAGGGACGTTTGATACAAAATGGAAATGGTATGTCCGAATGGCTGCATGTAACGAGTAAAAGGTAACTGCTAACTACTGCTACATGACATCACAAGGTGGAACAGAGCATTTTGAGCTTTGGAGGTGCAGACAGACTAATAATGGGTATCCCAAATAAGTGTCAATGAAACAAAACAACTCCAGGTATGCTTTTTGTGGAGGTAACAGTATTTTAGCATGGCTTGAAGCTCACAAGAGTAAATTTTGTGTAATACGGGACCTTAAAGATGAAGTAACACTAGTTTGCATAACACTTTGATATCCGATTGGCTGTCTTTAATCGTCCACCCTGATTCACTTTTCTCTTTGAAGAAATATCTAATCTCATATATTCAGAAGGATTTGGCAAAGAAAAATGTGGCAGACCTGGCTGCTGAATTGTGTGGTCTGGTTCTTTTGCTGTTAGTGATGTATTCATATTGACTATTCTAAATATTTGCCGTGGAAATTGGTTCCATTCAACAGTGGTTACCCAGCTTTGGAACAAATTAAAGGTCCTATATTACACAGGTTTCTGATCTATGTTATAATGTTGTTTCCTCATCTAAACATGCCCAGAGTTTTGTTTGGTTTCATTCACACATGACACACAAATCCATATTTAGGCTTTAGTTCTTCTCTCTTATTTGGGCAGTTTCAGCCCTGGAACTGACCATTTCAATCAAGGTAAAAACAGCAGAAAATTACTGTTTCATGACGTCACGTGGTGGAACAGAGCAGTTTGAGCTTTGGGGATATAGACAAACTAATAATGCAGGATTACTCAAACATATGAATGAACCAAAACACAACTCCAGGTCTGTTTTTGAGGAGGTAACAACATTATAGCATGGCTTAAATCACAAGAGTCAATTTTGTGTAATATAGAACTCTTTAAAGTGGCACTCAAAGGATTTTCAGTGGTGGAAAGTAGTTATTATGGGTTGTATGGTGGCTGAGTGGCTAGCTAGCACCCACGCTTCATAGCAAGAAGTTTTCGGGTTCAGTGGGGGACATTAAAACTCTTATAACTCTTGTGAGCTTTGAGCCATGTTCTTATGCTGTTACCACCTCAAAAACAGACCTGGAGTTGTGTTTTGTTTCATTCACACATGTTGGAGTAACTCTTTATTATTAGTCTGTCTACATCTTCAAAGCTCAAAATGCTCTTTTCCACCTTGTGATGTCAAGGAGCTGTACTTTTCAAATTAATACCTTTTACCACTTGTTCAGTAGATATTGACAATTCCAGAGCTGAAATGATCCAGATGATTCTAGTGAAGGTGTGTGGAGTTTAAAAACACAGTGGAGCACTTCCTGTATTGCCACATGACATCACAAGGTGGAACAAAGTATGTTCTGTTTGAGAGAAGAACTAAATCTGCAGGATTTCTGTGTTAAATATGTGTGCGAGCAAAACAAAACACAACTCCAAGTGTGTTTGTGATGAGGAAACTACATTAGAACACAGATCAAAAAACTGTGTAATATAGTCACTTTTACCCCCTTAACGCCTGAATTTACATCATAGATGCATATATATATATATATATATATATATATATATATATATAATATATATATATATATATATATATATATATATATATATATATATATATAATGTTTTTGCCTTTATGTAGACGGTAAATTAAGTTTATTAATGTGACTATAGCAAAAAAAGAAAGAAATCTGGGCATGTTGCAAATTTGTGACAACTAAGAGCAAGTGCTTGCCATAGGTTCCAAACGGTTTGTCCCATATTTGTGACAGTTGGCTTTAAGGGGTTAAAGTCTACCTTAACCTTAATTACACAAACGTGAAGTATCAGTATCAAAATGACTTTAAATTCTTGTTCACAGGAGCTCACAAAGCAGCTCGCTGCTGTCCAGTCTGAAGAGTAAGTACAAGCTACATTTAAATTACCACCAGGCTCTAATCACTCTTACCAGAAGACTCTTGGAAATATGAGGATAACAACTTCCGGTGTAGTTACTGACACTGGGCTTGTGATAAAACCATAGATTCAACAGCAGCGTCTTCACAACCTACCAAAGCTTTCCATGGGGGACGGGACTCTAATCACATCATGTCACTTATGGAACGCTACAATTATACAAATTATAATGTGGAGTTAATATGATTAACTGAGATTCAGGAGCTGGACCACGCCTCAACCTCCTCTCCAACCAACCACATCTTATCTCAACCACGCCTTCAATTAGCCAGAAGCCCTATTTATACGGCCTATCCCGACAACACCGTCTGCGTCAGAGCTCTTGACCACCTCCCTCCCACACGTGTCTCTCATCCATCCTTCTGTCCGATGACAGCATCTTCAAGGAGGGATGTTCTGATTCAGCTGGGTGACTATTTTGGATTGGAGATTATACCCCCACCCTGAGTCTCCCAACAGCTCTCACATCTATCAAATGTCAATAAATAGTGTTATTGTATTCCATTGTTGTGGCATGGTCCTTGCTAGTGAAACACAAATTAATAGGTAATTTCTAAAAATAAAAAAATAAATACAAAACATCTAGATGAAGAAAAGTGGGACATTTTCTCAGTTTTCCCAGATTTTGTCAGAGTTATTATTGCTAACAGAACCCAAAGGAAGTTGTCATCCGTTTCCAAACATCTTTAAGTTTTGTGACGTGAGCGTGACTCGAAACTACAACATTCCTGCTGTTCCACCATCATATCTTCTCTTGTCACAGTTTAGAACCAGAGCAGTCACAGCCTCTCACTCCGGAGGCCGTGATCTCAGGCCTGCGCCCCCTGGTGATGTGGATGTCCAACAGCCTGGAGCTCCTGCACTTCATCCAGTTCCAGCTGCCCGAGCTTCTGGAGTGGAGGAGCAGGAAGGAGCAGGGACATATGCACGGCAATGAACACAACCTGTGTAAGACATGTTTAAAGGACACTTTTTGGAGCTTTTATCCATGTTATAACATTGTTCGACCACTAAAAACCTGCCTCATACCTGGGCTTGTATTTCACTCATTCATCCAGGATTGTTATGTCACAGGCAGTCCATAAATCATCACCAAGTATTTCTGCTGTCAAATCACATTCATTACAACTGTGTGCTTACACTGAGGCATATTTGCTAAGATTACAAATAATGCATAATATGTGTCCTTTAATAGTTGGTTGCTGTAGGCAATAATAATTCATTTTCTTGTATATTTTTCAGTTCTTCAGATCTATCTTTCTTGTGTGCGATCAGCCATGGAGGAGACCATAGCTGTCCTGGAAGAGGTTATAATGCTGGCGTTCCAACAGTGTGTCTATTATATTACTAAGGTAAGCTTAACTTAGGGACTTTTAACCATGTTTCAAACAGGGGAGCTCTATAAAATGTAAATCTTAAAACATTTTAATTTGAAATATTATCAAAATGCCCTTCATACGGTCTACTGTTCATTGGTTCTCCCTTATTTCACAAACTGTGTTGAAGTGTGGGGTAACACCAGTGTGCACTTCATCCATTGATTATGTTACAGAAACGAGCTTTACAAATTATCCATAAAGTTGGATTTTTAGAACACACCCATAATCTTTTCATGCAATCCAAGCGCCTAAAGATTCCTGACCTTGTGAAATATTATACACTGGTCATTTTATTTAGAGCAGGGGTCACCAAACTTTTTCCTCTTGGGGCCACATTATGGCTCCTGACTGTGATGGGGGCCGGGGTCGTGTCGGCCATATAACAGAATTATATGACCCTGATGACGCAGATTTTATTCTTTGAAAACCGCCACACTTTGTTTACATATCAGGCAAACTGCATGGTCCTTACACTGAACAAAAAATATTTGTTTGTCCACTATTCTTTGAAAACTCTGCATTCTCTGTCAAGTTTTTGTACTTTAACACTCGTCATTTTGCTGTCCTTAAGTGCACTACAGAACTCTGCCCGTGTGTTGACTGTCACTGTTTGATCTCGAGCTTGTAAGGTGACGAAAAAAGTGGCGTGGCCAGCTGGAGTAGGCCTTAGTTTGATGACCCCTGATTTAGAGCATTCAACAATTTACTACCAAGTAATCTAAAAAAACTTGTTCAAAATTAGAGTTAAGAGTTGCCCAATTGCCTAATTTTCAAACTACCCGTAAAAGTTTGTGTGTGTCTATATGTGGTTTAAAACTCTTGAACAGTCTGGATACACATCTCAAGCAATGCCAAAATAAAAATAAATAAATTCAAGCTGTTCTATAAACATATGGTCTGGTTACAATATATATAGAGAGTGGGTCTTAATATTAGAACATACGGCCTCTGTAGTGCTGCTTTATGTTTGTTGTTTCCTTACCTTTGCTGGTGCTGTCCATTACATTACTTGTATTTGCTGTCTGGAACCATTGCTGGTATCCTTATGTATTATCGCAATATGTTGATCGTTATGTTACCAAACTATAACAGTGACTCTGTCCGTACGTAAATAGTTCATATAGCTTAATGCAGAGGCGGTACTACCATTAGGCAACAGTAGGCAGCCACCTAGGGCCCCTGAACGTGGAAGGGGCGCCTACCAATTGCCCTCAGTGCCATTAATGACCGAGACCTCAGATAAACTTGAATTTCTCTCAATATGACATTAAATGAGAGTAGGTTACTTTTAAACAAGAAATCGTCATTAAAATAGTATATGATTGTCAAAATTATTTTAGCTGTCAAAGCATCCCCCCTTCACGTTAGAATGGACTAGACAGCTTGACCCTGATTTGAACAGAATCCTAGTATAATCATAATCATATGTAATGGATTTAAACAAAAATCTAATTGTAAATTGTAAAAAAAAAAAATAAAACAACTTTCGCCTCTGGTTAGCTAGTAGGTGACCGAACTAATAAGACAAGTTTCCAATCCACCATAATTCAATACAAAACAACTAAACAGTGCAGTATAGGTGCCCCAAACTGAAGTTCACCTAGGGCCCCAAAATTACTAACTGGTTTAATGTAAAATGTCTGAAAGTAAGATCATTGTGTTAGATTAGAAGTGGGGGTGGGATTAAATACATTTTCTTCTTTGTCACTCATTTTTGGGCACAATTTTTGTTGTTTCCATTATGATTTCACTAATGTTATATGTTCCATTGTAAAATAATGTAAATCTCTTACTTGCCTAAAATAAATACATAAATATTTTTTAGTATTATCCAGATTCAAGCATTGTACAAAAAAGAACCTTGAAAATAACCACAAAAAGAGCAGATTACATTAAAAGCTGTTTGATTGTTTATTTATTTTTTTTCTAATCAGCTCATCACAGTCCTTTTTAATAGTTTGAATTATGTAATTTGATATATATGTATATTTTTTTATATTTCTCCAAAACAACAATTCTGAAATAATACATTTTTAGACATATTGTTGAGGAAAACAACCTTTTACTCATGTGTTCGTTAGTTTTCTTCTTAGATAAAAAATACACTTGAAACAGAATAAAGTCCAGATAATTTACTTTTTTCCAATATTAGAAAGTCATACTTGTACAAGGAGTCTGTGCTGACATTCCCATGCAGAGACTCAATTTTTACACTTATACAATGACTTTTATACGCAAACTATAGTGGGAGGCGACCATGGTTTAGACTTAGCGCCTCTTCGTTGGTGCACAGGTCAGCCAGGCCTCTATTGGCACGTTGCACAGTTCGATCAGACTCCATCCGGGGAGTTATCTGGCTACCAAGTCATGACATCATCCCTATCAGTAGTTCTTGTCCTATTTAGTTAGTTTGCTATTAGATAGATTAGAATTCCCTGCATTTGTCTTGACATATATGTATGAGTCTCACTGCTGTGATCAGAGCCCTGATCTTCAAATGACCTCGGTACAATAACAAACTATAGAAGTGATTGTACAAAATAGCTAAGCCTAGTTATTTATCCTAACAATATCTACCCCCAATTTCAACTTTGTTCTTTCTCTTTATGAGCTGATACTTCCATCCGCCTGTATTTCATCATGTTAAATTATATCAATAAGCAAATAAAAGACCAGAAAGATTTGCGTAAAATCTTAGAACAGCTGCTTTCTCCATACCAACCCAGATGGGATGTAACAGTCCCAAAAAATCATTGTTGGAATGTTGCGTTTTCTAATAGCAAGTTCCACATGGATTCTTGTTCCTCACTGCACTCCTTGAACTTCCTGCTCCCTTGTAAAGTGATCAATGGATGTTTGAGCTCGCAACCACAACATTTAGCTTCACCACTGCGCTAACGGCTATTTAGGTGTAACCCTGCTCTGTCTGGGCTCCCACTGCTGCTGCTTCTAATGTGTGCATGAAGTAAAGAAAATAATCAGACACGAGCCGGGGATAAGGGGCCCGTAGGATTGTAATGGGTCCACCACAGAAGGGCATTCTGAGAGAAAAAGAGAGGACTTGTATGTGAGCGTGTCTTCTGGGGGGGAGGAGACCCTCGTTTAGCCGTACTTAAAGCGCCTGTACCTGATTTTAAACCACAAGCCCCCACAAGTCAGGGATATTTTAGTTAGCATTTTTAGCTCTGCCCACTTAGTTCTTTCTCCTGCTGTGATATTGCACCATGACACCCCAAGCAGTTGTCTATCGTTCTTCAATCTTTGCCTTTTAAAGATAGGTGAGGCAGCTTTTTTTCTGATCTGACCAAATTAAAATCCGGCCTGAAGAAATGGGTTAAAATGTTGAGATGTGACCCTAACTTGCACACATTAAAGATCCAATTACTGTGTTTTACTGGCTATTAGGCGCTCTAGATTATAAAGCGCACTGTTACTGGTCTATTTTCAAACTTTTTTTCACAAATAAACTGCACTGAACTTTAAACGAAACATAACAGTGTGATGGGTGAGTGGTTTTGTCTGTTTGTGGCGTTCACGGTGACTCTGGGCTTTGTTCAGTTGTGGCGTGTAGGGAGGGTGGTGTCTGGAACCGCTGGATTGTCGGCGTGTTCGCAGTGACTCAGTTGTTCAGTTGTGTCTAGAAGTGGTACATTGCACTCGCTTTTTCGGTTCATTCCTCCGTTCTGTTCCTCGTCGGCGTGGAGTGATGAGTGTGGCTGTGGGTGTTTTTCGCATAAAATGAATAATATACTTTGAACATGAAATAAGGCAGAAAAATGTAAATGTGTCCAAAATAAACTATATATCCAACTGTTCTACAATCTCTATATTTAAAAATAAAATAAATATACTTATTTATTTTTACGTCCTGGCCGTGGAACACTGGACCAGCTCTACACTCTCCATCGGGTGCTTGAGGGTTCATGGGAGTTTGCCCAACCAGTCCACATGTGTTTTGTGGATCTTGGAGAAGGCATTCGACCGTGTCCCTTGTGGTGTCCTGTGGGGGGTGCTGTGGGAGTATGGGGTTCGGGGCCCTTTGCTAAGGGCTGTCCGGTCCCTGTATGACCGGAGCAGGAGCTGTGTTCATTGCCGGCAGTAAGTCAGACCTGTTCTCGGTGCATGTTGGACTCCGCCAGGGCTGCTCTTTGTCACCGGTTCTGTTCATTGTATTTATGGACAGAATTTCTAGGCGCAGTCAGGGGCTGGAGGGGGTCCGGTTTGGGGACCACAGGATTTCATCCCTGCTGTTTTCAGACGATGTTGTCCTTTTGGCTTCATCGAACCAGGACCTGCAATGTGCACTGGGGCAGTTTGCAGCCGAGTGTGAAGCGGCTGGGATGAAGATCAGCTCTTCCAAGTCCGAGGCCATGGTTCTCGACCGGAAAAAGGTGGCTTGCCCTCTCCGGGTGGGTGGAGAGTCCTTGCCTCAAGTGGAGGAGTTCAAGTATCTCAGGGTCTTGTTCACGAGTGAGGGAAGGACGGAACGTGAGATTGACAGGCGGATCGGTGCAGCTTCGGCAGTGATGCGGTCGCTGTATCGGACCGTTGTGGTGAAGAAGATTTACCGGTCAGTCTTCGTTCCTACTCTCACCTATGGTCATGAGCTCTGGGTAGTGACCGAAAGGACGAGATCGCGGATACAAGCGCTCGAAATGAGTTTCCTCCGCAGGGTGGCTGGGCGCTCCCTTAGAGATAGGGTGAGGAGCTCAGTCACACGGGAGGAGCTCGGAGTAGAGCCGCTGCTCCTCCATGTCGAGAGGAGCCAGTTGAGGTGGCTCGGGCATCTGTTCCGGATGCCTCCTGAGCGCCTCCCTCGGGAGGTGTTCTGGGCATGTCCCACTGGGAGGAGGCCCCGGGGAAGACCCAGGACATGCTGGAGGGACTATGTCTCTCGGCTGGCCTGGGAACGCCTCGGGGTCCCCCCGGAGGAGCTGGAGGACGTGTCTGGGGTGAAGGAAGTCTGGGAGTCC